GTCAACGGATTGCCCCTTTTTGGAAATCCATTCACCTCTGGATCTATTTAAGAAACAAAATACGATAATAATAAGTACGATGATATAATATTGAAATAAAAACTGTACAGCAAGATAAGAACATATGACAAGATAAGATCTCTCCGTCTCTCTCTCCATCCCCATCTCCATATGTCTAGCCAAAGGCTAAAGGCGAGCCAAGCCCAGTGACAAGAAGGAGGAGTTCAGCCCGCTAGTGTTGTTGCTAGCTGCTTCATAGCGCTACTCCATGCCATGGGCAACAAATAAACTCCCACTACTATTCGGCGCACATGAAACGGTTCAAAAAAAGCCACCCTTTTAACGCCTCGCGGTCCCCACCCAAGTTTGGAACAACAATTCCAGCAGTTTCGGCCCCCCACCCATCCTCGCCACAACTGACCGGCCATGACCCCCAAAGGTGCAATCAAAACCATGAGCATCGCTTACGACCCGCGAAACATATTTCTGCCGTCTCTGCCTCTTGCGAAGGAAATCCTTCAACATGTTTCAAAGCATCGCTTTTCGATGCCGAGCATCGCTTGCGACCACCGGTCGTAAGCAATGCTTTGTGTTTTGTTATCAGACCATGTCAAATCCATGCTGGTACGAGCACACAACACCACGCAAACAAGATGATACTATGTGGTTGTCAGCATTTTTTGGGGGGGTAGGGGGCTGGAATGTGTTCAGAAATTTCGAAGGTCCACACCCCTTGGAAATTCCAGGCCCTAAGGGAAGCGATGTTCAGGAAACATCGGTGTCCCTGTCAGACATCTACATGATTTTGCTCAGGGCTTGTTTGGAACAGAAGAACTCGCAGGTGGAAAGTATTGCGCCACAACCACTCACTGCTCAGAAGGCTTTGGAACAAAGCCGCTAAACAATTGCCACGATATGATTGTTTTCGCCGTCCGTTGACTCGATCTAGCTCCAGAAAACAACGGTCAAGGGGATGAGTCACATACAATCAAATGAGATAGTATACCAGTCACAATGATGTCAAAGCTTCACGCTCAGAACTTTCTTCGCCTCGCAGCATCCACTCAGGTCGCTCCCCACCACGGGTGTCGACAACAACGGGGCGATTCACGCATGCAACCAGCTGGTGCCATCCTCACCGTCCATGATCGCAGAAGCTATCTGCAATCGTAGGTAACGGCTGCCACCATTGGGTTGGTGACACCAAGGGTTTGGGCGGGTGGGGAAAAATGTTCCAATGCCAGGTACAGCTGGCTTTCGAGATGCTCTCCAGCACGTAAACCGGGATGATCCTGATTTGGAGATGCACTCCAGCTATTGTCGCTAAATGCCTTGAACCAAAATGCAATATTGGCACACATGAGCATTTGACACATGTCAGGCATACGCCAAGCCTGACCAAAGCACGATATGCATGTGCACATTACATACATGTACCCAGGCAGCCAAAAGAATGCACAATTTCAATATTTGTTTGGAAACCCGTGTTTTTCCAACACATACATTTTTTATTTATACATGTTCAGAAACAAAGACGTTTTTTGATAATCTTCGTATTTTGAGTACGCAGAGTGTTGCTTGCTTGTTTGGCCACCTGGGCCGTCATGAAATGAGGGAACAAAGAAAACTTGAAAAAGAATCATTTGCGCCATAATTTGCGCAACTGTCCCTATTGGGGCATTGTGGCTCGCATTCGCCTGGACTTGATTGGGTGGTTATAGGCCTTTACCAACCTGCGACATGGCTTTGCAGCCGTGTTCATGGTCGAATTGGGGATTTCCGTTTTTTGAACACAATCGCGGCAAGAACAAAGGCGGAATTTCCCGGAACAAACGCAGAAATTGGCGGAACAAACGTGGAAATTCACGGAATGGAGTCAATGTGGTTTTTGGTTTTGATTCGTGCTGCTTCAGGCCATTTGTTGGCACTGACATGCTGCATTTATACAGGGTTGCAAACAGTCATGCTTCAGTAGATCTTGGTTGTTGTCTAGCTCTTTAACTTCACATTTGATGGCAGTTCGAGCGGAAACCCTAGCGTCAGCACCAAAACCGCTTTACACACTTACAGTCAGTGAAAGTCCCTTAACTACCAAAGCGATCACTAAAAATCAAAATGTCCACCCAAAGGAACCAACAAATACATTTACTTGTATGTACAACATATTTTGTACATACAAGTACGGTTTTGCCTCAACAAATATGTTTTTTGAGCTCAAATTAGCCGAATACATTTATTTTTGCAACCTTGGGATTCCCAGGCATACATATTTTTTTTCCAATGGAACCAAGAAACTATGAAATCGTAGGGTCTGAGAAAAAACAGTGTTTTGCATCAAAACCCAAGGTTCTGAAAATCTGTGTTTTTTCAAAAAAATCAAAATCTTCAAATATCATGATTCGTCATGAATGTGGATGTTAAGTCCTTCCAGCGTGCACACACACACACACTCGCACATTGATTAACCTCACACATTCCAATCACCATACTCTCCTTTTCTCATCATCCTCACAGCCTTGCGGAACATAAGTGCAAAAGAGAAAACATACATGGTATAGGTACTAACAAATCACCACAGTGGTTTCAACGGCAGGTTCCTCCACCAACACATTTAATTTATGTGTTTTATCTTCGGAAACTTCTGTTTGTTCCATTGATGCACCATCACCTTCAGCCAATGTAAAGCAGCTCCAGTGACGAGTGGAACCATTTTCCCGGCGCCATGCCCAGCTAACCGGGGAATGACCCTTAACATCTATGAAGGCTGCAATGCGTTAAAAAAAGGTTTGAACTTTTGAACATATGCATACAGGCCCGTATCGGGACATGCCTGAACATTTTTTTTCTAAGTGAAATGCAGGTTTCACAGGTAAACCGCATCCTCTTCCCATCTAATTTGGATGCCGGCTTGGCATGCTCTGGCAAAACAGCGATCACACCACAAAAACTGCTACCAGTGCCATTCAGGCTGAACCCCAAAACCCCATAATGTTTTTACGGGTCAATTACGGGTTCTGTACGGGTTAATTACAGGTTTTCAGAAACAATGTTTCTGTGGAATTGAGGAAAAAAAACGGGTTTAGTACGGGTTAATTCAATAAATTCGACACACACACACGTGCGCACACACACAAACACATATACAAATACACATTACATATTCACGATTTGGATCGATTTGGTCCATTTTCCAGGGGATGATTTGGCTGAAAAACTTGCACTCTTGCAGTCACCTTTTACATGGATATGATTTCTTTTTTTTCTGGTGAGAAAATTGCCATTTCGGCGGCCGGGATTCGTCAGCTTATCGTTTCGCAGGTGTTGGATAGCGACCACTGTGTTTTCTCGGAAATGAAATCCAGCCCTGCTGGTAGTAATTTCTCTTCGACGGGCCTCTGCAAATGCTTCAATGATACATACATAAACAGTAATAAACAAATATCGCCATGCACATGGTACATGATAATTATTGGTTGGGCTTGAAGCTTGGCCGATCCAAAATGGTATTCCTTTGAAGTATGCGAGTTGCAGTTGTGCAAAGGTTGAACGAGGATACATAATGATACATATTTACAACTAATTACATTACATACATAAAATTGGAAATTCGAGGGTCGACTAATATGGAAACTCTATAACTGGGAATTATATTTCATGATCACTGATATTGGACTTGAGGATGCTATTTGGGGTTATGGGGTGACCTAAAGCCAGGAGGGATGTCAAAGGAAGAGGTGCCGCAAATAAAATGCGCTAAACTGATTCTAAAACAGCACCATAAGATATCTAAGCATAGATATGTTATCGAAAACCAAGTTTTTAGGAACAAAAACCATATTTTCACGAAGAAAAATGAAACCATGTTTTTGGACAAAAAATGCAAAATGTCAGGTTTTAGGTTCACTAGGTATACATATTCAGAATTCATCAACCGTCTCTAAAAATTTCACATTTTGATGGTTCAGTGCCCAATAATCCCTCATCAATGGTGGCTCTAAACCATAATTAATTCCTTGGTTCCCACCTGCCAGGTGAGGGTCTCTAGAATATCTAAAATTTTAACAAGGTGCAACTCCCGCCTTCACCTCCTCCTCCTCCTCCTCCTCCATCTGCCAGCCTGTCACTGCAGGCACCAACGGACCCGGATCTCACAGAAAGTTTGAGCTCAAGTGGGGCAATCTTGCTCCAGAACCTCATGGCAAGTTCAAGGGCAGTCTAGACAGGCACGGACCCGAACACATGCCAGAACATACTTTTGATGTCAGAATAGATGCCAGATAGAAGTCCACCAGAATAGAATGTCAGACTGGATGCCAAATAGAATGCCAGAGAGGATGCCAGAAGAGATGCCAAAAATAATGCCAGAAGAGATGCCAGACCGGAAAGAATGTCAGAATACATGCCAGATAGGGTGCCAGAAATAATGTCGGAATTTATGACAGATAGAATGTGGAAATCGATGCAAGATAGACTGCCAGAAAATATGCCAGAAAGAATGTCAAATGGAATGTGTAGATAATTCCAGATGATGATATGTGAGAAGCTGTGTCAGGAGAATTGGTCCGGTTGGGGATCGCGAGCTCAACCCTATCGCGAGCTCCAGATCAGGCTGGGCACGCACGGGCGCACGGACCCGAACACATGCCAGAACATACTTTTGATGTCAGAACAGATGCCAGATAGAAGTCCACCAGAATAGAATGTCAGACTGGATGCCAAATAGAATGCCAGAGAGGATGCCAGAAGAGATGCCAAATATAATGCCAGAAGAGATGCCAGACCGGAAAGAATGTCAGAATACATGCCAGATAGAGTGCCAGAAATAATGTCGGAATTTATGACAGATAGAATGTGGAAATCGATGCAAGATAGACTGCCAGAAAATATGCCAGAAAGAATGTCAAATGGAATGTGTAGATAATTCCAGATGATGATATGTGAGAAGCTGTGTCAGAAGAATTGGTCCGGTTGGGGATCGCGAGCTCAACCCTATCGCGAGCTCCAGATCAGGCTGGGCACGCATGGACCCGAACACATGCCAGACAGAATGGCAAATAGGATGTCAGAATAGTTGCCAGAAAGATGCCGGAATAGATGCCAAATAGAATGTCAGGATATATGCCAGATAGAATGTCAGAGCAGAGGAAAAAAGTCAGATGGATGTCAGGTAGAATGCCAGAGCAGATGAAATGTGATAGAATTCCAGATGGAACGTCAGATGGAATGCCAAATAGAATGTCAGAATATTATATATATATGTTCAGGTAGAATGTCACTTGGTTGGGGGTCACTCGAAGAATTGTTTCCAGTTCCAGTGAACCTTAAGTCAACTAGTTGGTGATGTTTCACCATAGCTGTAGGGACCCCCTAATTCATGGGGCTTATCGTCCCATGGTTACTCCCTTGTAATTTCACATAGCTATGGAACATGGATGAACATGGATGAGCATGGATTAATTAACATGGATGAACATGTCCTATTTATAGATGATCTACGATATATCTACCATCATTAGCCATGTCAGATATCTACCCTCCACAGCCCCACCTGGTCCCAGGCATTTTGAACTGTCCCCCATTGATTCATTAGGTCTTGCCGCTCCGGCATCATGATGGCTGCAAAGTCATCACCACCGTCCTGCACGGCCATCGGATTCCGCCAAGGGGGGCGAAGATTCCAAGATCAAGGTGGGGAGAAAGAACAATTATCTAAGTGACTTATACCTTATAACATCATGCGTTGAATTTGGGATCTAAGTCTTTAAGTGACTAAAACATAAACATTGTCGAAGGAAGTTTAGAAGTCAAACTTCCGACAATATGGACAGATGAAAAGCAGAGCAGGGAAGAGGCAGAGAAAAGAGAAAGATTAGAAGAGAGAAGATCAGAAGAGAAGAGTCAGAAGACAGAAGATGCAGATGCGCGAAAAGGTAGGAAAGTCGCGAAACACTGTGTTTTTCCAATGATTTGGGGCTCCGGAGGGTCGAAAAGTAGGCTCGCTAAAGCGGCGGGTGCGGAGCCAGCTGGCCAGATGAGAGATGAAAATTTGCACGCCGTTGTGGCGCGAAGCACATTTTGAAGTCAAAATGTACAAAACACACCATGGTCGGACCACTTTTGGAAGTTGCGATGTCGAAAAAGTGCACGCCGTTGTGGCGCAAAGCACATTTCGAAGTGAAAATGTACAAAGCACACCATTCTCGGACCACTTTTGGAAGTTGAGATGTCGAAAAAGTGCATGCCGTTGTGGCGCGAAGCACATTTTGAAGTCAAAAGTGTTAAAAACTGACGGTCTCGGACCACTTTTGGAGGTTCGAAGTTCAGATGTCGAAAAAGTGTCGAAAAAGTGCACGCTGTTGTGGCGCGAAGCACATTTCGAAGTCAAAAGTGTAAAAAAAACTGAGGGTTTTGAGCCTTTTTTGACGTGAAGATGTCGAAAAAGTAGACACTGATTAACTTAACTAACTTGACTAACTTAACTAACTTCACTATCTTAACTACCCTAACTTCGACGACAACAGCAACAGCAACAGCAACAACAACAACAACAACAACAACAACACCAACCACAACAACTACAACTACAGGGTTTTGAGCCTTTTTTGGGTTTGGAGTCTGTTGTGTTAACGCTGTAGGAGCTGTTGAAGTTTCAATTTAGGAACATGAGGATCGTATCAGTACACGGTAGATGGATGGATTCGGATGGAAAGATAGATAGATCGATAGATAGATTGATAGATAGATAGACAGGTACATAGATAGACACCACTGCATTACATTACACCATCTTCCACTACACTTCACTACATTACACTACACTACCCTCCACTAGACTACAACTACAACTGCAACTACACAACTACACTCCACTACACTACATTACACTGCATTACACTGCTCCCACTACACTTCACTACATTACACTACACTACACTCCACAACAGTACAACTACAACTACACAACTACATTTCACTACACTCCACTACACTCCACTACGCACCACTACACGACATTACACTACACTACATCCCGCTACACTACACTACAACTACACAACTACACTCCACTACACTCCACTGCACTAAATTACACTGCAGTACACTACATGACACTACACTACACTCCACTACGCTGCATTACACTACACTGCACTACCTTCCACTACGCTTCACTACATTGCACTACACTACAACTACAACTACACTCCGTTACCCTCCCCGACACTAATTTACACTACACTAAGTTACACTACACACACTACATGACACTGCACTACACTACCTTCCACTACATTCCACTACACTACAGTACACTACACTACACTACATTAGACTGAATGACATTGCACCCTAAATAGACAGGTCGACGGATAGACAGACAGACAAACAGATAGATAGATAGATAGATACATAGATAGACAGATAGACAGGTAGACAGCTAGACAGAGAGACAGATGAAAGAGAGAGAGAGAGAGAGAGATAGATCGATCGATAGATAGATAGATAGATACATAGATGGATAGATAGATTGGTAGGTAGGTAGCTAGGTGCACCATAGATAGATAGGTAGACAGACAGACAGACAAACAGATAGATAGATAGATAGGTAGATAGATAGACAGGAAGACAGCTAGACAGCTAGACAGATAGACCGATGAAAGAGAGAGAGAGAGATAGGTAGATAAATAGATAGACAGGTAGACAGCTAGACAGATAGACAGATGAAAGAGAGAGAGAGAGAGATAGATAGATAGATCGATAGATAGATAGATAGGTAGGTAGATAGATAGATAGATAGAGTAATCAAATGAAAGAGAGAGAGAGGGAGAGATAGATAGCTAGATAGAGAGATAGATAGATAGATAGATAGATACATAGCTAGATAGATAGGTAGGTAGGTAGACAGTCAGAGAAAGAGTGAGAGAGATCAATCGTCTTTCGATCCATCAGTGGCTTCGCTCTGCCATCCCTGATTCACAACAACCAATCTCTCCTATAGGTTTCCTATTTTTGAAACTTCCGCCACCGCCTTGCGCGGTACTACTGGTATAAGTATGTTTTACTGATTAGCACGAATGAATCGTGCAACTGGAATGAGCTGGAGATATTATGGGAATATGTGGGATAAATGAGGTTATGATCCCTCCGGCTCTTGTCAGTTCGACCCTGAGACTAGCTGATTTCTAGATATCAAAGCATTGCTTTCAACTGCCATGGCAGGGTCAACTTGTTGGGGATGGGAAATGTCCAAAATGTTATCATGGATGTTCATCGCATCGGCTTCCAAAAGCTGAATCACCGGTTTCCAGAGTTCCTGGAGGGTAATGTTGTCTAGCCAATAGTGATATCTTGTCAATAGTAGAAACATTTTTCCGCACTCCAATTTTTCTCCAATACTAAAAGTCATTAGTTCCATTTACTTTTAGTATTGCCAAAAGAGTCATGTTCAGACCTTGTCCAAAGGGCATGGCCAATAGCGGACCCAACATGGCAATAATGGAAACTTTTTTCCAAATCCATTTTTTTCTCCAATACTAAGAATCAATTAGCTCCATTTACTTTTAGTATTGCCAAAAGAGTCATGTTCTGACCTTGTCCAGAGGGCATGGTATAGTATCAAATATTAAAAGTTAAGTAGCCTAATTTAATTTACTATTGGAATGCTGACCCCCCCTGATTTTGTTTTTAAAAATATTTGATTTAGGGGGGGTTTACTATTAGGCAGCATACATTAACCAGATCCTGCCGACATGGCCCATGAACTTTGGAGGCTTGTGTAGCGTAGCTCAAGCTACAATGCCAAACGGAACAATATCAAGGAAAGTGGCAGTGCTGGAGGCTTCAGAGATCAAGCATACCAATTCAATCGGAAATCCGAAGTAGTTGGCAATGGAAACGATTTATGCAAGTGCTGCAGCCCTGGCGCCCAAGGTTCTATAACTTTCTTCAAGTTGAGGGTCTATAGAAACCAGGTTAAGAACAGGAAAATCCGGGAAGTTTGATATATACTCTGGACGCTGGAATCTTACATAACATTCATAAAATATCTGAGCGACTGCATGAACTTGAGGGACGTGGATCATGGCCAACAGTTATGATTAATTCCTCACCACCGGATCCCATTGTAAAGTGATAGTGCTTGGTCTTGCAACAATATGATGTTATAATACTATACGAAATAAGACAAATGTACTGTATTCTTCCACTGGTTGTACATGGATGACCGCGAGCCAATCCACGCCAGACACACCCAATTTTGTCCCTCAATTGATGAAGGGCAACTTGAAAACGATCAATGACTTCCTGAAGCGCAGTTTCACCTGGCAGATCAGTCGCATCTGCGACACAAGTACGTGCTTGCTTGAGGCGCGATTCCACACACACATGAACAATACACACACATATATATATATATATTATACATATATATATATAGGACACCTACACTTGTTTGTTGTTTCTTTTATGTTCTTTGAAAAAGATCACGGTGGTGTTTGTGTTTTCCTGCCATCATTAACCATCACTATGAAGGGCTGTCTCTGAGCATCCTCTATCTCTGTGTGGGTATGAATGGGCGTGACAGCTCTCACCAAAGAATTTGTAGATTTCATGGATGCGATACCCTGAACCTAGGGTATGAATACATGAACATGCAAATACATGCAATGAATACATGAGCTTGTAACAGGTAGCATCAACATATTGAAAGCTTCATGTATGCTTATATGACTCATATGCATCTCTCCAATTTTTCCTCTAAGCTCAAAAAAAACACACACCATCACACACCTGAAAATGAGCTGTGATGGGGATTGTACACCCCTCCCTGACACAACCATGTCTGGCGCTTGGTCGGAAATAGGGCGCTCAAATCATCCAAGTCGCTTGTGACTAAGTCATAGGAGAACAGAACCACTGCTTGGAAGACCTGGTAAGCTTGGGCTTCCAAACCTTGGTGACCAGGCGAGCAAAGGCCTTCAAGGCCTTGGGGTCATTGGGCTCCTCGATGACTGGACCCCACTCAAAAGGAGAACTCTTAGGATCAGCAGTTACATCTGGAGGGATGACCCTGGGACCCATTGTTCTGGCAAACGGAGCCAGTCTGAAAAAAGGTAGTTTCATAGAACACTAAAATGTCGGACCACGGCAACCTTAAGTCTTTCAAAGTGATATTGAACCCTCATGGAGATGCAGAAATACATGGACATGTCATCATTCTAGCACTCAATCCCATGCTTGGGCATGTATGGGCATGTAAAACACTTATATCAATTCGCCCTTTTGCCTGCTTCAACCCCAACTTTCACACCTTTGCATGAAACAAAGCCCACCTTTCGTTACTGTGCAGTCAGCCCCATTTTTATCATTTTTCCAGACAACTCCAATCTTTTCCATGTTAACCAAAATCAATCAAAATCACCTTTTCGTGATTAAACCGACTGATTTTTCTTGTAAACCTCCCTTCGGCGTCCAGGTTGCCGCTTGCCAAGTGCACCCGGTGCCCAGGCCAAACAGGATCCGCAGCCAGAGCTCGGGTGAAGTACTGCTCCTGGTGAAAAAACGGCAGATTTTGGGGCGAAATGACCAGGAAACTACGCGTTTACCTCTAAATTTGTTGGGGGTTTCCAATGATTTTGTTTCTGAGGAATGCTTGATGCAACTACTACAGATAAATAATTAAATAATAAACAGTTGAATTTTATTACGGCAAACATGAATTTACTGATGATCAACTGGTCACGGAATATGTACACGAAACCAATGGGCAAGAAACCAAGAAAACGACCGAAACTTGTTTTTCCATCCCACTTCCCCCAAAATTCTGGCTAAATTCTGATAAGCAGCAAACCTGTCAAAGAAGCGAATTTTGGGGCATCAAAAATCACTGACTATAAATATCGGCAGAGTATGGGTACACAACAGGTGATGGGTTGCTGATACATGGGGTGTTTAGTATTGTTTAATCCGTCTCCAGATGCTTTTTCTATTAAAGGGTCTCTGGTCAGATATGATTTGATTCGGGTATCAGAGATTCGGGGCAAGTAAATAATCACATTGCCTCATCAAGCATGGTTTGCCATTGGGTTTGTTTAAGAACGAACACGCCCAAAGGGAAAAGGAATTTACAGCCCGTTCAATGGGTACATAATATCCCTTGTTAGGGATAGCCACGACCCAGCCTGCTCAGAGTTAGGCATCCTTCTGCAACCACATGGGTCATACTCTCCGCAGAAAAATCCATCTGAATCCATGTATAGAAATGTTACGTAAATTTGCCTTGCAGTTTACCAAAGCCAACTCATGGCCAACCCGAGACTCTCTGCATTTCTTTTGGCAGCTGGTTGATATACTGTACATCCACACGCAACCAAAAAAGAGTTAAACATAGTTCAACTAGAGCTACCCCACCATATCCAGTCAAAATTTGCCCAGAAATTTGCCAACTTGCCTGAAGGCTTTCTGCATGTCTTGTCAGATCTTGCCCGTGTCGAAGCACTGTTTCATCGAGATCACCAGCCACGGCCTTGCGAGCAACGAAATTTCCACCACGCGTGGATAAGGTGTCAGAAGGGGTACCAACTAAAATAGCGAAAATAGACTCTGAAATTCGATTCCAAGAGGAGTATAGTCTTCCGATCTTTTGATACTTGGAATTCCCTGGCAGTCCTCAATGAAAGATATGAAAAATCAACTTGTGTAGTTGGAAAGCTGGCCTTTCATCTATTTATCCCTATGATTGTCCTTAAATACTTTCTGCGAACATAATTCGCCCCTAAATACCACTAAAAATAATCCTCCAACTGTTTCCCTCAAAGGACTCATGGTTTGCCTGGGCGCCATTGTGTAATTTTTGAGTGAGGTTGTTTTTAATGCGTATTTAAAGGTTTTGTGACATATCTGACTTGGAAGCGGTACGCGTGTTATTAATGTACCCGAATTGGTGATTTTAAGTAGGATTTCGTGACCCTCTGTAGGAATCAGCTGCATGATTTTCTCTCAGTTTCAGGGTCTGAAGCGCTATCTGGCCAGAACCATGCACATTTCTCAACATGTTTGCTCTAGTAGCGGTATGGCGTTTTTTTCCATGGGGGTGGATGATATGATCCCTTATGCAAGCCCTAATAGCGGTGTGGTTAAGGGTTCCAAAGGGGTGGGAGATTTGTCTCATGGAGGTGGGAGGTTTGATCCTTCGGTGCATCTTGCATAGCATGTATGGCCAATTCTTCAATATTGAGGTGGGAGATTTGATTCCTCCTTGTCCCCAAGAGTGTCATGGTTATATAAAGTTATATAATTTTGGGATGTTTTGGGTTGGTTGATGGTGAACCCCCTGTTGATTCATGGGATATATACATGAATCGCACTAAGGTACCCCCTGGATTGCCCCGTTGCCCTCAATCCTGGCGCCTGAATGAGCTGCTGAAAGGTGGGATCGATCTTCTGCAAGATGTGATCCTGGGATTACTGAGACTTGTTTGCAAAAAATGAGGAGTTGACCCAGAAACAATTAGATCTGACCTGACGAAAAAAAAATGAATTTTACCAACAAACTGAGGATCGAACCAGCAGAAATGAAATTTCATCGGCAAAAACATTTTGATTTCAGCAAGGACGTTTTCGTTAGTCGCAAAACAACAGGTCGGTACCCATGGGGCACTTGGTACCCCTGAATCCACTGAATCCACTGGTCTTGCCAAAGGCAACTGATAACCTAACAACATTGGTTGAACTAACTAGGCTAACGACGGTTAATGGTAGAAATATCTACAATTAATGAAATTTAAAAGACAACAAGCCATGGAACTGTTCATATGTGTTTTAACATGTTATAACTCAATCATATATCCTGACACCATCATCATCATCACCATCATCATCACCATCATCATCATCATCGTCATCGTAACCACCATCATCATGATCATGATCATGACCATGATCATCAAGACCTAAATATATACATCTTCCAAATCTTGATTTTGGAACGGGCTATGGGCATATGACTAGGAGTAATTCATAAACAGGTCTTTGGAATGCTTTGTGAATGATTCTCCTGGAGTGGAAACGTCTGAACATAACGGCATGGATGAACTCCAAAGAACAAGTTCTTGCAATGCTAGGACCATCCGTGAACTTAGTCAATGATTGGTATTGGTAACTGAGTTCCAAAACGATGCAATTCATTGGAAAATGACCGGATATGGTATGGGTATGGTAAACAAAGTGACAAACCGCAATTGCAGGGTTTGACAACTCCCGAATTATATGTTTTTTCTTGTGGGGGTAACCACGTGATTCGTTGCGTTACATCACATCGCATTGCGTTACATTGCGTTGGATTGCAGTCCATTGCATCACACGACATTACATTGCATGCGTATTTAAAGACACACAGACACACATATACATTACATACACTCACATATCTCTATACATATATATATATTTATATGCATTGACAGGTCTGCGATATGACTATGACCCAGGTGATCACTTGGTCTGACGAGGATCAAATTTGCTCTGCGTAGGCGGCGCTGCCACCGGTGGGTCGAAAGAACCAAACATGATGCGCCTGGGAGGCGTCAGAAGCTTCCCCCCTTCCACAGTCTGCTGAGGTGGTTTCGGGCGGTTCTCAAAAAGGAAATTTCCCCAAGTCACCATTGGTTTCAATACAAAAATTTGGTCTAATTATATACTCAAAACTTGGATGATGAGGGGGTACCCCCGTTTTAGGAAAACTCCACTTGTGTTCAAACCATCCAACGAGAAATGATCAAAAAACAAGATGCAGCCCACGAGCCCGAATTCTCACATGCATGTTAATGGCACAGATGTCGAAACAAATCGAGATGCAGTCACGTAAAACACTTTTGTCAAAAATAAGTTATTTCAACAGTCTTGTACATTTTTCCCGAGAGCGCCTGCGAAGGGTTCTTCGTAAAAAAGCAGCCGTTGTAATACATCTTCACACCCTCACATGTGCTGATCTACATCTTCACACCCTCACATTTGATGATCTACATCTTCACACCCTCACATCTGCTGATCTACATCTTCACACCCTCACATGTGCTGATCTACATCTTCACACCTTCACATCTGCTGATCTACATCTTCACCCCCTCACATCTGCTGATCTACATCTTCACCCCCTCAAATCTGCTGACCTACATCTTCACACCCTCACATCTGCAGATCTACATCTTCACACCCTCACATCTGCAGATCTACATCTTCACACCATCACATCTGCAGATCTACATCTTCACACCCTCACACCTGCTGATCTACATCTTCACACCTTCACACCTGCAGATCTACATCTCCACACCCTCACATCTGCAGATCTAGATCTTCACACCATCACATCTGCTGATCTACATCTTCACACCCTCACACCTGCAGATCTACATCTTCACACCCTCACATCTACAGATCTACATCTTCACACCTTCACATCTGCAGATCTCCTCTCGCTCTTCTTTCTATCTCTCTCTTAAAGCGGGGACGATGCCGCCGGAGCGCCACGAAACGCAACCCTTTCGCACGAAATGGACGTTGGACGTCTAAAAACTGATGGTAAAATTGCGATTTTGAAGTATCCATCGCAACCCTTTCGCACGAAATGGACGTTGGACGTAAAAAAATGATAGTAAAATTGCGATTTTGAGGTGTCCATCGCAACCCTTTCGCACGAAATGGACGTTGGACGTCAAAAACTGAGGTAAATTGCGATTTTGAGGTGTCACGGGCCTTACACGCGAAATGGAAGTTCGACGTCAAAAACAAAGGTAAAATTGCGATTGTACTTGGCCCATCGCAACCCTTTCGCACGAAATGGACGTTGAACGTCAAAAACTGAAGTAAAATTGCCATTTCACGGGTCTGGTCTCTGTGTGTGAAAGTGTGGTCTGTGTGGAAAAGGGTCTGTGTGTAAAAGTGTTTGTGTGTAAAATGGTCTGTGTGTAAAAGTGTCTGTGTGTAAAAGCCTCTGTGGGTAAAAGCTGCTGTGTGTAAAAGCTTCTGTGTGTAAAAGCTTCTGTGTTTAAAAGCTTCTGTGTGTAAAAGTGTCTGTGTAAAATGGTCTGTGTGTAAAATCTTCTGTGTGTAAAAGCGTCTGTGTGTAAAGGAGTCTGTGTGTAAAAGTGTGTGTGTGTGTGTAAAAGCGTCTGTGTGTAAAGGAGTCTGTGTGTAAAAGCTTCTGCGTGTAAAAGCTTCTGTGTTGAAAAGCTTCTGTGTGTAAAAGTGTCCGTGTGTAAAATGGTCCGTGTGTAAAAGTGTCTGTGTGTAAAAGCGTCTGTGTGCAAAAGCGTCTGTGTGTAAAAGCGTCTATGTGTAAAAGCTTCTGTGTTTAAAAGCTTCTGTGTGTAAAAGTGTCTGTGTAAAATGGTCTGTGTGTAAAAGTGTCTGTGTGTAAAAGCGTCTGTATGTAAAGGAGTCTGTGTGTAAAAGTGTGTGTTTGTGTAAAAGCGTCTGTGTGTAAAGGAGTCTGTGTGTAAAAGCTTCTGCGTGTAAAAGCTTCTGTGTTGAAAAGCTTCTGTGTGTAAAAAGTGTCTGTGTGTAAAATAGTCCGTGTGTAAAAGTGTCTGTGTGTAAAAGCGTCTGTGTGCAAAAGCGTCTGTGTGTAAAAGCTTCTGTGTGTAAAAGCTTCTGTGTTTAAAAGCTTCTGTGTGTAAAAGTGTCCGTGTGTAAAATGGTCTGTGTGTAAAAGTGTCTGTGTGTAAAAGGGTTTGTGTGTAAAAACGTCTGTGTAAAAGTGTCTGTGTGTAAAAGCCTCTGTGTGTAAAAGCCTTGATGTGTAAAAGCGTCTGTGTGTAAAATGGTCTGTGTGTAAAAGGGTCTGTGTGTAAAAGTGTCCGTGTAAAAGCGTCTGTGTCTAAAAGTTTCTGTGCGTGTAAAAGCGTCTGTGTGTAAAAGTGTCTGTGTGTAAAAGCTGCTGTGTGTAAAAGTGTCTGTGTGTAAAAGCTTCTGTGTGTAAAAGTGTCTCTTTATAAAAGCGCCGCGTTTCTTCACATCCGAGGAATGATGGTACCGAGCTTTTTCGGCAATGTGTGAAGGAATTACCATAGTAAAATGAGATAACACATGGCATCCGCAGCATCATGGTACCGAGCCTCCTGTGCACTTTTGTTGCTCACATTTTATTTCTCCATGTTTTCTTTCTATCTCCCTTCCCTTCTCTCTCTCTCTCTCTCTCGCTCTCTCCCCCTCTTTCTCTTTCTCTCTCTCTCTCTCTCTCTCTCGCCCTCTCCCTCTTTCTCTCTCTCCGTCTCCCTCTCTCTCTCTCTATCTATGTCTCTGTGGTTGCAAGACACGTGTCATCTGATGCCCTTTGCCAAATATCCTCTTCTTAATCAATCTTACTTTTCACACCTTATCCCTCCATAGCTCATATAAAATTCACCAACCATTCACCGACTATCTTTTACGACTACCATCCTCAGAGCTGCTTGAAAAACATCTTTTTCGCTCTCGGGCCAACCGTCGTCTAGTTCCTCTGTTACCGTGCCAGTGCAGACTGTGGAGTGTAGAGTGCGGACTGTAAAGTGTAGAATGTGGAGTGTAGAGTGTGGAGTGTCAAGTGTAGAGTGTGGAGTGTCAAGTGCAGAGTGTGGAGTGTCAAGTGCAGAGTGTGGAGTGAGACGTGTCGAGTGTTAAAGTGTAAAGTGTAGTGTGTAGAGTGTCAAGTGTAAAGTGTGAAGCGTAAAGTGTAGAGGGTGGAGTGTAAGTGTAAAGAGTGGAGCGTCGAGCGTAGTGTGGAGTGCAAAGTGTAAAGATGTGTAAAGTGTGGAGTGTGAAGTGTGGAGTGTAAAGTGTAGTGTGTGGAGCGTAAACTGTAGAGTGTGGAGTGTAAAGTGTGTAAAGCGAGAATGTGGGGTGTCAAGAGTAAAGTGTGAGGTGTAAAGTATAGGGCGCAGAGAGTGAGAGTGGAGTGTAAAGTGTAGAGTGTAGAGTGTGGAATGTAAAGTGTAAAGTAAACCCTCGCGATGTCCCACGCCTGCCACGCGCTTTTTACACCGTCACGACATCATGCAGCCCTGACAATGCGATTCGCGAAAAACACGCAACACCACACGTAAAAAGTGTTGCACCTGCCACGCAAGATGACGATTCAGGTCTCCAAAGTGCTGCACCTGCCAAAAAAATCCAAGTCACCTTCTGAAAACCTCACAAGAGTATGGCCCCTGTCACACAGCACGCCTTTTGACACGTTATAAAACTTGCTGCGATGTCACAAAGTGTCACACCTGCCACGCAAAACTGAATTTTGACCTCGTTTGAAATCTTTCAAAATGAGAGGTTTCGCAGCTTCCCCCCTTGGCACGGCGATGCCACAATAAAACCAGAGAATCGAGGCGAGAAATGTTGGAGCCTCAAAACGAGCAGTTCGTGCCAAGCTTTGTAGCTACAAGTTTTCTCATGCACCCCAAAATCTACGACCTCGCATCTCAGAAAATGCAACGTTGTCACGTCTAAAGTGCTGCGCCTGCCACGCGAAATGACGATGGAGGTCTCCAAAGTGCTGCGCCAGCCAGGAAAAAAATCTGAAAACCTCGCAAAAGTATTGCACCATATTGCACCTCTGTCACCCCACACAGAACGACTTTTGAGACGTTATGAAACTTGTTGCGATGTCACAAAGTGCCGCCTGCCACAACGAGGTTGCGCAACGTTTGAAACCTTCAAGTTCAAAAGTGAGCACGTTTGCAGCACTCCCTATTATAACTATTATAGGCAGGGCCATAGGGACCTCACGAACGGTTGCGAACGGTTGCACAACATGTAGTGAACACACCCTCAACCCCCAAACCCGCAGAGTGAAACGGGAACCTCGCTACGCATTCGGGAAAGATACGCAGTCAGCTTGGCGACCCATCCCAACAGTCAGTCTGTGGCTCATTCGTATCAAAAGGGATGAACAAACGAAAAAACAATCTAGAAAACACAGCTTCAAAACCAAATCCGCATCCAAGTTTGATCCAAAAATCAAACCACCTAAGCATTTCCCAATATTTTCCAACTCCGAACACTTGGCACAGAAACAAACTGCTTGACTGCCCCGCCTCAAGGAGGACTCGAGTTCGAGGACTAATGCGTCCAACCTGCGAGCTGACACATAGAAAGACTTCAAACACACGCACAATCGCACACACACACATTATTAACATATATATATATACGTAAATATATATATATGTAAATATATATATATGTAAATATTATATACCATCTACACATGGACAATATGGAGAAACACGTTGCATATATATATATATGTGTGTGTGTGTTATATACGTTTCATAATATAGCAAATACGTTCGAAAGACCGGAAAACATCACCACATGCACTGAACACCTTTCGGAGTTCGGGCTGCTGCCGTGCTTGAACAGAAGGAACTCCGTTGCGACCTCCAGGGGGCCAAACCCCACCGTTTCGCTAATTGTTTGTTACTTAACAATGGTACATGGTAAAAACATAATCCCTGTTAGTTTGGTTTAGTGGGTTAGGATGTTAGCTAACATTAGCTAATCGTATGGGATATTATGATGTTGACTAACCATAGAGATGTTGGCGAAACGAAAGCATACTGTAATGTAATGGGATGTTACCAGAAAAAACTGGTAAATGATCAAAAGCCATGTTAGAGGAATGTTGTGGATTAGGATATTAGCTAACCATGGTATAACCATACCCTTTGTTAGTTGGGGATTCACCAATTGGGTTGATCATCCAAAAGGTTCTTCAATCCTTCCACTCAAGTCCGTAAGGTCCACAATTTGTAGCTCCAACTGGCCCGGCTCCCCATCTTTGTATAGTGAATATGGATAATGTTGTAATTCCAAGTAAAAAACGATCCTTAATATGAGCAGAACAAATCCCATAAACCCATGCAAAATTGAGGGTTTAATCATTGGTTTTTTACACTCCATTATTACTTTATATATATATATATATTAGGTTACGATAAATCACTATATACCACTAGTCGATCTATTATTGTATCCCCATATGTTGGGAAGGTTTTATCCCACAGCTCCCAAACAGTCCACTGGGTAGCCATTTGGTTTTAGCACCCCCGGCATCCCAACTGGTTTCAAACCCATCCAGCAAATTATCACTGGACATGTCAAGACCCGAAAATGGAGGTAGTGTACCATATAAGGCCATGTTTAATGGAATATTCCATTACGTAGCCCTGAATTTTGGGCCTTGTATATGGTAGCTACCTAGGTTCCTGACACGGCACTTGAAATTAGCCAAATGGGTAGTAAGTGGGATATAGCCCATGAAAAAAATCCGGGATGAATTTCAAATCCATGCTGCCAAAACTAGCAAAGTGGCTGGCAAGTGGGTTATAAGCCAGCAAGAACCTGGGATTATTGAGATACCCTAGCAAATCTAGACACAAATCGCTCATCCTGGCCAACAAGCTGAATGATATGTATATGCTGTATACTGCATAATCCGTTAAATTATATAGGGTTATACGGTTATACTATGGTTATACTATATGTGGTTATACTATATTGCTATCCTGCGGGTAGACTAGATGGTATCCCTATGCATCCAAGCACTTCCTGAACCATTTCTTAACCCATCAAATCATACCCTAAGTACTTCCCAGAGGGTACTTGGATCCATAGAGTATGGTCATACTATGGTTAACTGCGTAGGCCCTCGAAGTACGCATGAAAATTGGTCAAAGAAATGGCTATATGACTATGACCCCAGCTTTCTAGTGACTTAGAGGGTCTAGGTGGGTTAGGCTGTGGTTATCTTATGGTTACCTTCGCTATTGGTAACAGCGAAATCATTGAAGTAAATGGGCAATTTTCATCCGTTTTCCATGGCTATCTTAGTTTCCTGAAGGGCAAATTACAACCCCATCCCTGCAATATTAAAGACCATTATTTACTCCTGTGTTTATATGCCCTGCTACACCATGGCTTCTGGCGGTTTGTTTAAACTCTCGCTGCCTTGCAGGCAGCATTAATTTAGATGTAAATAGATTACATAAGCTACAGCTAGATTTTGAAAGAGATTAATTTAATAGATGTTTTGACGACAGGTAGTCACTGATATTAACAGATACTATGTTATCAAAATTCATGCATACTGATAATATTCATGAATATCATCTTATTGATAGATAACCAATGCTATTGATAGATAATAGCTGGGAAAAAAGACAAGTCACTAGCCTAAGATGAGGATATATTGGGGATGATCCCCCTTACCAACCATGATTCCGGTGAAGTCAGAGATAGGTCCCTATCATTTACCTTGGCTATTGGGTTGATTACCATGTTTATCACCGTTATTATCCAATATAGTGCATCATTAATAAAGTACATATTCCCATGATCTGCAAATCGACCCTGACAGACCAAGAACAGCCTTAGTAGGAAAAGGTACCTTATCCTACCGGCAAACTGCCAAAGTCGCCTAACATGATTAGCAGGCGAAGAAAGAAGTGCCATGGACAGAGGGTGCGAGTCAATCCGCGCGGTTCAGAAATCGATGAGATCCGAACCACCAAAAGCAGGGAATATAGGAGGACGGCGGCTTCATCCCCAGGACTATGCGACCCACTAAGGCCTGCATCCTTGGAGCAGAGTGAGCTATGGACATGCTCCCGAGGAAGTGGGACAGGAGCGGCAAGCTAAGGCTAAGGCCACGCTCAGAATGCAAACTTCAGAGGAAGGAGATATCCGCATGAAACCAAATTTATCTTCATTTAATATCCCTATCCCATCTCATTCTACTAGCTGGCTGATAGGTTTCCGTACGATGGATTAACATAATCCCCAGTAAATCAGCTAGTATAAGTCTCTATAGGTAACCAATCAACCAAGGTATTTTTTTTCATGGCTCAGGTATTGATAAATCTATTGAACCTGTTCATCCCCATGACCTCTCCATGAAACCCATTTGTCCTCATTTAGTTCCCATAGATTGATGAACCTGTTCTGGGGCTGCACCTCCGCGCCGAGCGCCGCGAGGTGCGCCACTTCCAAGTGCAGCTGCTGCCACTCCTCCGCCGCCAAGGTGCTGTTCCTCTGAGCTGGGAAAAGCAGCCGCAAAAACGGGGAAAACAGATGCAAACACTGGGGACACTTTGGAGGCTGCTACAAAATCTGGGGAAACAGCTATAACATTCTATAGCAGTCTACAAATGGCTAAAAGAAAGATCTGAACATTTGATAATCCATGATCATTGGCCATCGGATACCAAAACATGACCAATGATAACATTCCTACTAGTACTGAAGTTAGTTCCGATGTCCCAATAGAACTGAGGCTAGAACCACTACAACTGTTGGGTTCATCAATGTTAATTAGAGTTGACTACATGAATTATCCCTCTTAGGGGGGCCGCTTTTGAAGGAGAAAAGCCGGGTGAAATGTCCCTGCCGTTGCTTTTTCTATCTGCCAGATGATGGTCTGTCTAGATTTTAACGACACTCCTTGCCTCACCTGCCTCACTCACTCACTCCTTCACTCTTCCTCTCTCTGGGCCACACCTGGACCCGAACACCATATCGCCAGCTCCGGAGGCTGTGGAGTGCGCCTGGACCCGAACTCATGCCTGTCATGCCACAGATAATGTCAGACAGATTGCCGCTAGAACGCCAGAAAGAATGCCGGAATAGATGCCAGAAAGAATGTCACAACAGATGCCAAATAGAATGCCAGGTAGAATGTGAGAATAGATGCCAAATAGAATGCCAGAATAGATGCTAGAAAGAATGTCAGAATAGATGCCAAATAGAATGCCAGACAGGATGCCAGGCAGAATCTCAGAATATATGCCAGAAAGTATGTCACAATCGATGCCAGATAGAATGTTAGACAGAATGTCAGAGCACATGCCGGAAAGAATGTCAGAATATATATATATATATTATAAAATTAAATATGTGTGTAATATGTGTACATATTTGGATAGATAAATATACCGTATACCATATATTTATACACTTCCACATGGTATGTCAGAAACTAACTATGTCGGAATAGTGTGTCAGGGCGGGGATCACTCGAAGTAAAGTATTGATTTTTGATTTTGTGCTTAACTGGGGAGGAACTCACCAATGACTGAAAAGTTGATTTCCAAGAGTGGCGCAACGTGAAAAGAGGAAATAAGCCAGGATAGATCTAGACTTTCGACAGTAGACGATGCTACTGATGAAGTTCAAACTGGAGTGGGCTCATCGGGACACGATTGAATTCATGAAACTAACATGAGTCGAGCGGGTTAAAACACAGTGGAATCATGTGATACAGCGTTAACCATTTCTCTGCGAACAGAAGCACTCACCTGAAGCCTTTGAGTCTGAGTGGACAAGCAATTGGAACCTCTCGACGCCGCAAAAATCAGGAATGGGGCATACGGCATACGTTATGCCCCAAAATGGCTATCTTCTGCCACACTACTGGTAAGATGATGATAAACCATCAAATTTGTGGATCTAGAGTAACACCAAGAACGACAGAATTTGGTAGTAGCTTTAACATCTTTTGAATCTGTTTGAGGTTATGCTATCCCCTGTAGTTTCATCTATTTTCAAGTAAACAAAGATGGCAGCCGTCCGAGGCACCCGCAGGTGCCATTGCCCATGGTCAATGACGGGATGATGTTCTCAAGGGCACCCACGGCCAAATGACTCATCCGGATCCTGGTAGAAGCCACACATGGCTGGAGCCTCCATGTAAACTCACATTTTGCGAACTGGAAGCCATGGCACATTGAGTTCGAAGTTTTACCTACTAAAGTGGTGATGTGTGTTTTAATGTGTTTTTATAGATACGCTATTTTGTTGGATGCTATATGGTTGTTGATCAAAATTCCTTTATCCCGGAACGGCCATTCTTCGCGAATAAAAATGTTACTTTCGCGAAACTTTCGCGAACTCCATGTTTATCTTTCGCGGGGCCCATGTTGGCCATCAGCAGGTGCACTGAAGGAAAAGCGAAGACCAGGGGCCTTGGTGTTTGGCTCTCGCAAAGCCTCACTTTTGGAAACTTGGCTACTGCTACTCGCATTCTCTGGTGCCCTTCTCCTGCCGGACCCCGGGCGGCAGTGGGTGGCAGCCCTTTACATATAATGATTATAATACCCAACTTTCGCGAAACTTTCGCGAAATAAAATTTTACTTTCGCGAGGGTTTCCAACATAACATGCACGGCTTTCGCAATTAAAACTCCTTACAAGGACCTTTAGATTAACCATCATATGAGGATATATGTTTTTTTTCACTTCAAACCATGTTCGAACATTGACTTCAAACCATGTTCGAACAACCGACAAACAAACATGTAATGTAAATGGTGTCAAATATTGCCATCAACCAATTCAGGGATATACAGCCTGTATATTATATGGAATTTGACCAGAAAAATCAGACGAAAAACATCATAAACATCTGGGTATGCAAACATCCCCAGCCTTTTAGCAGAGGAGGGGGACCCCTATATGTAACTTACATTTTCTCTATTTTTCAGGTGTCAAAAATGTGATATTACATTTTTGACATCGGACCTAAAAATGTAAGCCTTACATTTTTAGCTGTTCCGAAAGAAATTGTAATATAACATTTCCTATAGGTAACCTAGAAAATGGAATAATGTTGTCTGACCAATAGTGATATCTTGTCAATAGTAGAAACATTTGTCCGCAACTCCAGTTTTATTTCCAATACTAAAAGTCAATTAGCTCCATTTACTTTTAGTATTGCCAAAACTGTCATGTTCAGACCTTGCCCAGAGGGCATGGCCAATAGTGGGCCCAACATGGCAATAGTGGAAACTTTTTTTCCAACTCCAATTTTTTCTCCAATACTAAAAGTCAATTAGCTCCATTTACTTTTAGTATTGCCAAAAGAGTCAAGTAAAGCAAATCCTTTTCAAAGCAGCCTTCACTTTTGATTAGCAAAAGCTTAGATTCCAGAAATCTGATCCAATTTCCAAACAGCTGATTTCCTTATAAAACCCTTATTAAAAAAAGCAAGAAAACAGGTCCACAAAGGGTACCCCCTTTGCAAGCCCCAGAGTAGCAATAACAAACCTGCACCAGGCATGGCAATAGTGGAAACTTTTTTTCCGCAACTCCAATTTTGTTGTCCTCCTTCTCCTTCTCCTTCTTCTCCTTCTTCTCCTTCTTCTCCTCCTCCTCCTCGTCCTCCTCCTTCGCCTCCATGTCCACAGAAACCCAACAAAACCATGGAGAATCTATCAGATACATATCATGATCCCAGCTATAGATTCCCAAAAATTATTATAGGAAGGTTGACCCCCCCCATTAAAAAGAAAGTAGGGGGGGTAATTACTATTAGGCAGCCAACATTATTACATTTTGTGGGTGTTCAATTGTGTTTGGAATCATTTCGATATACTTCGATATATTTCGATATATTTCCTAGTATTTCGTCAGCCAAATGAAGGGGGAGGGGGCTTCTCCAACAGGGCTGCCTCGCTTGCGCCCGGAGGGCGTAAGCAAGGGAAGCCAACCCACAGCAAGGCAAACGTGGCTGCCTCGCTTTGAACCAGGCACAGGTTTTACAACCTTGCAGGATCCATCGCACACACCTTTGCCCTCTTCCACCAACTTGTCAAGAAGGTCAGACAGCCCCGACTCGCGAACGCTTTGCTGCACTGGCCACCAGACTTGCATCCAAAGCCCACACATGGAATGAAATTCTGAAAGCAAACGACCTTCATCCTCTTTGCTCCACTCTTCGGTGGGCAGAACCACCACTGCATCATACACAGTTGCAACCAATCTATAGTGATGTTTCGGCAAAATGGATACAAAGGCCTTCATCCACTTGTTTTTTCCAAATCCATCAATGACATGGCAACTGCGGAGGTGTCAGGACGGGGCCGCTGAGCGGAGCGCATGGCTCCGACCAAGTCTGGAAAGGCAGCTGTCACTGCCTCTCTCAAGCGCAATCCTTCTGAAGCCAAGCCATCCAACAAAGGACATACCCCATGGCGACCTGGGAAGGCATACCCGTAGGAAGCTTTGAGGAGCATCTTCTTTGCATCTTCAAGTCCCATGTCCAAACACATAGACACCGCCTTCCTCCAGGCATCCTTGTGCTTGACATATTTCTTCATCAGTGCGAGCGACAAGCCGAGCCCCTCTGCCAACTGGGTTGCGAAGTGCACGACAGCGTTCGGCATGTCAAACTCTATTGAGGATTTGGGGTAGGCAGCAGCGCGGGCACTTTGTGACAATGATGGGTAACCAAAAGGGCCGAAATAGCGCCTTCCCAGCGGAGACCCGTTGACCAGTTTCGGCCGGCCCAGATGCGCCATTTTGACGCAGCCTTCAGGGCAAGAAACCCCATTGGCTTGGATCTGTACATCACCCCTGCAGCGCCTTCAGCGCTTTCAGCGCCCTGAGCGCCTTCAGCGCCTCCAGCGCCTTCAGCGCCTTGAGCGCCTTCAGCTCCCTGAGCGCCTTCAGCGCCTTCAGCGCCCTGAGCGCCTTCAGCGCCTTCAGCGCCCTGAGCGCCTTCAGCGCCTCCAGCGCCTTCAGCGCCTTGAGCGCCTTCAGCGCCTTCAGCGCCTTCAGCTCCCTGAGCGCCTTCAGCGCCTTCAGCGCCCTGAGCGCCTTCAGCGCCTTCAGCTCCCTGAGCGCCTTCAGTGCCTTCAGCGCCTTGAGCGCCTCCAGCGCCTTGAGCGCCTCCAGCGCCCTGAGCGCCTTCAGCGCCTACTTATCATATACTAAAATAGGTAAACACATAGCGGTAGCTGCTAACTGCCAAATAGCCTCGAACTGTCCATCGTACGCCCCCCCCCGAAACTAAGTTTTTGTTGATGCCTTAGGGGGTTGTAAGTTACATTTTCTGCCCCCCCACCCTCCCCCCAGAAAATGTAAGTTACATACAGGGGTCCCTCCCCGAAAAACTATGGTTAAGAGGGTGGGGAATGGTGGGGATATGCAAACCACGAACAGGGGAACACCAACAGCCCTACAATGTCACACGCAGTTGGTCAAATTACAATATTGATGATTCTGATCCATTTCAATGTGTTTGGAAAATTGCTTTCAGAATCGATATGGGATAGTATGGGCATACCTGAGGCCTCGAGAAATATCCAAATTATATACTACCTACTACTTAAAAAAAAAACAATGGTTTCATGGTTGAATGACTTAAATCAGATTGAACACCCTAATATTGATGCTTAAATCACAATGTTTGATGGATTATACTGAAATTATACTGTACGTGTTATAAATCCCTATTGTAAAAATCATTTCTGATGGTGAAATGCAATGTTTTCGTTTTAAACTCATGTTAAATCCCCATGTTTCATGGCTAAATCAATTAATTACACATTTTTCATGGAAAAAACCTGACTGGTTCATGATTAAACCCACTTGTTCATGGTAAAATTATTTGTTCATAGTAAAACCATGTTTTTTCAGAAAACAACCAAAATACAGGCCCCATGTTGCCACGTTTCTGGAAATGCAATACTTTCTAACTTTGTACTATATCACGTTTGATCATATGTTGTTTGAATTTTGGCTCATATATGTTTGATGACATATTTTTTCCTTACTATCACCGAAACATTAACACGTAATTAGAAATTTGAACGCGTTGACAACCACTTACGTCAGAATACTTGCTTGACGACTTTCTTATCTCTTCTTCAGGATATGTAAGGGCAAAGGCCTTTTTGTTCTGTTCCTTTCTCCTTTTGCTTCTTAAGTGATTTTATGAGATATCCCTAGAGATTCCCAGAGATTCCTGGAAAAGCCTATGAAAGGAAAGGAAGAATGAAGAAGGAAGAAAAATCAACTAAATGCAGTACATAGTTTTAGAGGGGTTGTCGATGAAAAAAAACAGCGCTCCAGAGCTCCGAAATCCTCAAAATCCTCATTTGGAGCCTTCCCCTTAAAATCTTCATTTGGAGGCTTGCGAGGCTTCAATACCTTTGTTTATCTTTGTTTGGAGCTTTCGGAAGCTTCAAAATCTTCACGTGGAACTTTTCTTAGATTGAAAATTTGTATTCAGACTATGCCACAGCTTCAAACTCTTTATTTGGAAGTTTTCAGAGCTTCGAAGCGGCTTCAGTTATACACATGCATCTTCAATATATGTATCATGCTTTTGTTTTTTATAACTTATGAACTTACGCTCACTACTTCATCAGATTACGGACTCATCTCCCGCAACAAACTTTCTTAACAAACTTATCTCGTTTGAAGAAACTGTCAACTAATTTGATGTCATGCCAATGAAGCAACCTGCTATATCATTTGGCTTCATCATCTGCGTGGCCGCTATGCTATCATCAAGCTGTTTGGTTGTTTAGGCTATTGACTTACAATCCAAGTCAAAAGAATGGTCATGTTAATTCTGACTTCAAATAGAATCAGCAATTCTGCTATGTCTTTCCAATGTTTAGAACTAAAGATGGCAATGCATCACAAGGTGCAATGATTACTTCCATTGACTATTTGCCAATATGCCTGGGGAGTATAATGCAAGAGAAAACCAGGACAAACCTTTTTTTACAATAACTTGATCTGATAATGCCCTTCAAAAAGTATGTAATTTTCCACTATTTTCCTATACTGGTAAGAGGGCTTAAGCACAAGCTTTAGCTCTAAACCTGTTTCATATCTACTCCTGGCCATGGCTGTATGTAGACATATCCTTGGATATATTTGTGATCGTTCTATGGCAACTACAGGCTACCTCTGTTTAGGCTGTACACATTATTTGATCAGCACACTCATAGGTTTGTTAGAATAACGATCAAGACCACAATGCATAACTCACCAGTCTGCAAGGGCATCCTGAATGATAGTCATATTGCAATTCTGAAAGTATGATGACGTGTAATGTGTGAAGATGATGTTCTTTGTTTGTACTGTTTGTATTTGCTACTATTTCTACGCTCTTTGTTGGCTTGCACTGTTGGTTTGGGAGAGAGACATGTACAAGCCGATGCCACTTTCAATTTATCAAGGTGACTCTTATTGACAAGAGTAGCATGTGTATATATATAACGATTTCTTCCAGCGGTTCCTGTCTCAAAATTCAAAGTTGATAGAATGGTTGTGCTATGTGTTGGGTTGAAACTAATCTTTTCCACATGCATGTGGGATTGACTTTACCCGGTTGTTCTATGATGATTGGCAAAAGTGACCTTACATATTACATACCCCATGTACATTACTTCATGTGCGTTACATAGTTTGGAACATTTTATATGCGAGAAGAGTCATGTGCTGCATGCCCCTGCAAGGCTACTATTAACTTGCCATGCAGCATTCACTTGTTTACAAGACTTGGTACGCTCACATTCAGCATTTTGTATTCAGATATTTTTTGTGATCCTTCTGATTAAGTTCAATCACTGGATAACTATATACATGTTGAAACCCAAGCGGTCTTGTGAGGTGTTAACTGTCAACCCTTGATACATCCTTTGCCTGTGCAATTCCTTGCATCTTCCAGGTTTTGAGGTCCAAACTTCAATGGTGCATGTAAACAAACACCAATCCAATCAGTACAAATAAACAACTGCATTGGCAATTATCTATGGTGATAAAGAGGATCTGACTCAGCAAAGATAATTACTTTTGCTATTTTTCTACGCATTGAATATTGTTGACACATAGGGCCATAGGGTGAACAATTTATAACAAAGGATTTCGGCCCTACCTCCACTACTACTATACTATTTAACAAACACTTTACTGAAGTAGATGAAACAAGAACCAAATATACAGCATCAAATAGTAATATAGCCGGAACAATGTATATAAACAAAATCAAACACAGAAACATCTTTCAGAAAACAACATACTATGACTACATGTATATATATATAGCACAGCATCAAAACATGCATTTGTTCTATCAAAACACAGCTTTTTTATCCGTGGAACATGGGGTCCCTATTTGGTCACAGGCCGAGACTCATGGTATCCACCTCCATGCGATCTCCATGCGCCACCTTCAGCGCGGCCTGTTCTGCCTGGCTGTAGAGATCCATGGCCACCTTCACCTGGCCGTGGAAGTAGGTAGGAACTGCGACTTTCTTACGCAGACGCACCAAAAACTTTACTTTACTTGATTTACTTGACTTACTTACAGACTTCCTTACAGTACTTACTTACCTACCTAGTTGATTAGTTAGTTAGCTAGCTAGTTAGTTAGGTAGTTTGTTTAGTTAGGTAGTTTGTTTAGTTAGGTAGTTTGTTTAATTAGTTGGATTTAGTTATAGTTAGATTAGTTAGTTTAGTTAGTTTAGCTAGTCTAGTTTAGTGGGTTTAGTTAGTTTACTCATCATTCAGTCAGTCAGTCGGTCAGTCAGTCAGTCAGTCAGTCAGTCGGTTAGTTAGTTAGGTAGTTGGTTAGGTGGATTATACATGCCTATACCATCTTATAACATTTTAGAACCCTTATGTATACCTAGTCAAAGCGAGTTACAAGTAAGGGGATATGGGATTGTCCTGTCCAAGCACTCGAGCGCTTGGATAAAAATAGCATTTAAGCCAGACTGCAGAGGAGGACCAAAAAGGCAAACATCGCAGAGAGGGGACATGAAAGCAGCATACCTTGAAACACGGAGATTGAATGCCATAGAAACATGGAGTCGGTTTAGTCTTTACATTCTGTGCCCGTTCGCTACTCATCATGACTCACCACGATTCATCAGCTCCAGTGAACCATCATACAATTCAAGTCTATACGAAACCTTGACCCCAACGTTCCCAAAAAAAACAACTCAACAAAGTTTGAATTTGCTCGCTTAGCAGCCATACCACGTGTTTTCGAACACGGATCCCGCCTGTTGCACGATGCACACATCGGTGACCTTCTGAATGCCTAGCGACGTCTCCGTGGCTGGAACCCCTTGGAGAAGCTGCCAGCGGGTTGCTTCGATCGTGGCCCGGGAAGCATTGAGGCGCTCCCAATTCGCAGCCACGTCCATGTCGTAGATGATGTGAAGAGCACTTTGCCTTGGCAGTTTTTTTTTGGCTGGTGATCATTGTGTAACCCACGGAAATTGGCAATGAGTGTAGCAATGTGTACGAATATATATATATATATATATTTATATTTGTAATATATATATATAATATATATTTATTTATCTATTCATTTATTTGTTTATTTGTGTGTTACTGTATATGGTTACAGCCTATTACAGCATTTGATAATAATTAATAATGATGATGATTATTGTTCTGTTTTTTTAATAATATATACATAATAGACCAAAACAGTTGACTCAAACCCATAAGTTTTCAAAGGTAGGAAACAGTGTGGAGATGCAAAATACGCATGTTATGAGCCATGGAATTCTGAATCGGGGCCCGTAACCCTTGTTATCTGAGATAGGGTTTGCAATTGGTCCCCAGATACCCTCAGTTGTCAAATAAGAAAAAACTAAAGATCTGCATCCCCCAGTCCGATGGCAACATATTTTGCACATGAGTTTCCCCTTTATCCATTTGGATCAGCATCATGCGGCTGGGAAATCCTTAGTGACTCCTTGGCCCTCCATGGATCTCCATCGTAGTTGGGGAATATAGATACAACAATGATACATGCATAGTTCCCAACGGCTGCTTGAAAATCCCTCCGTGTAATAAACTTGTCAAATCTTTGATAGGTCCATAAATAAATAGATAAATATTATTATGTATCTATATATATATATATGTATGAATATATTTGATACAAATATAATATATATATATATGTGTGTGTGCAAGTGCCCAACAAAACCACAAGTGTTGGTAGTTAGATCCCGATCTCTCAACATTTTTGCTCATAATTGAATTTCAATTAACTCAGCTTGTTTCATCATCTTTTTACAGTGAACCATCATTTCCCTCATAAACAGGCCAACAAACTGAGGCTAAGTCCCTATCTCCCACATTATGTTTGATCGTTATTTCCTTATATTGTCCTTAGCGCTGGTAAAATATCGATGTTTCACCTTTTTTGCTGCTTAAACAACAGCTATTAAAGGTCAAACCAGCCAAAAAAAACAACAGCCAAACTACGCCATCTCCGACACTGCAAGAGCTTGTTCGACCCCCACTTCCACCGCTGCGGCTGGGACGTCACTGTTGAGCAACATGGGCATAGCCAAATGTTCTGCCTCCTTCGCGGTTGTAGCGTTGGTCGTTACTACCTACTCATTTATTGAGCCCAATGTTCAGGAAAAAAAAATGTACCTAAATAAATACATTAAATAAATAAATAAATTTAAATATATATATATATGCATGAATGCATGCATGCATGCATGCATGTATGTATGTATGTATGGATGTCTGTGTGTGTGCATGTATGTATGTATGTATGTATGGATGGATGGATGGATGGATGTATGTATGTATGTCTGTATGTCTGTCTGTATGTCTGTAAGTCTGTATGTCTGTATGTCTGTATTGTTGTACGTCTGTATGTCTGTATGTCTGTATGTCTGTATTGCTGTATGTCTGTCTGTATGTATGTCTGTATGTCTGTCTGTATGTCTGTCTGTTTGGATGGATGGATGTATGGATGTATGGATGTATGCATGTATGCATGCATGCATGCATGCATGCATGCATGCCTGTATGTATGTATGTATGTATGTATGTATGTATGCATCTTTGTATGCATGCATGCATGCATGCATGCATGCATGCATGCATGCATGCATGCATGGATACTGGTATGTATTCATGCATGTATGTGTGCATGCATGTATGCACGTATGTATGCATGCATGTATGGATGCATGCATGATTGCATGTACTGGGTGGGGGGGGGAGTGTTTGGGGGGGTGAACGGCAAGGTGCTCGGAGATAGGTGCTAAAATTCTGGAAACAGGGTGCGGGAAGTGTATTTTTTTTTAGGAAATTGGTATCCAATTGGGATCCAGTCGGGATCCTTTAAGAACCTCCGCGCCACCTTTGCCCCTATTTTCCCTTGCCTTCTACAATGTATGGATGTATTTCTGGATGCTTGCGTGTATGCATGTATTACGGTGATTCACCCCAGTACTCCAGTTTCAAGAACAGTACTGGACTAGCCCTGCCCGACTGATAACTGAGCTTGCAACAGATTTTCTAATTGGGGTGAACCAACAGGGAAGTATATATATATGTTACATATATGTATGTCACCCCAAAAAAATAGTTTCTTCTTGTGATCCGCACCAACTGACATTCCATCTGACAAATATGCTGACTTTCTACCTGCCAGTCTATCTCACATGCATATTCTCACACATATTCTGACATTCTAGATGACATTCTATGTGGTGTATATATATTGTGGTGTATATATATATATTCTGACACTGTATCTGATATTTATTTGGCATTCTTTCCGGCATGTATTCTGACATTCTATCTGACGCTTGTTTAAAATTTAAAATACATTCTATCTGATATAAGAATGACAGTATCTAATATGATATGTCATGTTATTATACATATATATATATATATATATTCTGACATTCTATCTGACATTTTGCCTGGCATTCTGTTTAACAACTATATTCAAAGATTCTATCTGGCACTTTTTACACGACTTTCTTTCTATGTTTTTCTATTCTGACTACAGCTTAAATAGCAACGAAACTTGCCACCCCCGTCCGGCCTGGTCAACTGATGTCCCCGTCCGGTCCGCCGGATGTTTCTGTTCAACGATGTGTTCGGGAACTTTCGAGATGAAACGACCGGGCGTTTTTTTTAGTACCAATATGTTTTAACGGTCGGAGACTATTTTTTAAAATGGTCTTTGGAAAAGAATGGAAAAGACTATTTCTGGCTAATTCTGAAGTTTTAAATGGGGCTCCTGGGCAGTTTAACTGTGCTATAGCCTTTTGACCTGGGTTGCATTGCAATTTAGTGTTGAAAGCCAACACTGGGCATTTTTTTCATAGGCGCATTTTTTTTTAGAACGTTGTCATGGTCAAGCCACCTGCATAGATAAAATCATTTGTAGGTCTATTTGCGTCGAATTTATCTATTAGATGATGGATAGTGTCAAATCAATTGGTCCAACCATCCCTGCTGCTACGCCACGGCAGGTTGATTTGCACTTGTCATGCCTCCTACCCCATTCCACTTTGTGTTGCTAAACAAAAGGTGATGTAAGCCAAATCTATGCAGTCGCGAGAAATGCAACCATAGCATGTCATAGCAACATGTTTTACAAATTGCGCCTGGTTCCGCCTGGAACGACTATTTTCTAGCGTGGAAAGACTATTTTCTAGCGTGGTTCTGGCGTGGTCCCAGCGTCTTTTCCCCTTGGAAAACAAGAATAATTGTATTTCGGCAGAACAATCAAGACTAGATGTCTGGGCACCAGCTAGGCCATCTGGGACCACTATCTTCCAAAGGGCAGTTTGAAGTGACAGGATTCGAACTAGAAAGAAGACACTGGACAAACAACAATAGTAGTGGCGACTCACATGGCTTTCATGTCCTAAACTGACACAAGAGCCACCGCCTTTAAGGCTGAAAAGTCCTTCGAAATGAGTTTCACCGCACGTCGCACGGGTGTCAGAATATCTGGAACAAATTGCTACAACTAAAAATTATATATAATTATGTGGCGCTGGAGAATGCTGGATGACACGCGTGACAAGCGTGACGAGCGTGATGCGCATGACAAGGGGAAATAGTCATTGGACTTCCTGTTTTTTTCCTTTTTTTGAACATCCGTTTTGTAGACAATTCTTTGCATTCGTTGGTTGGGTGCATCAAACTTGCATCAACAAACAGCCCATATTTTGAGGCCACCAAATAAACATATAACCTCCTAACTAACATTTCTATGATTTATCCAATTGTTACTTGGGATGCTAGTGTATGCTAATACACATATATACATATTATACAGTAATCGGATCATTCTTGGCCTTTGGATAAGTATGCAAATAATTACTACACAATGGATCCCACAGAAAAAGTAAGCAACTAATAAAGATACACACATTTGATAATTACACAATTGGATAACTACAACATTGGATAGTTATGGCAAAAATGATAATCACAAAAATTACCATCTGGTTATTTAACATACCATGGAAAATCACCATTTTTAATAGGTAAACCATCTATTTCTATGGACCATTTCCCATGGCCATGTGAAATAACCAGAGGGTAGATCCACTTTCCATCTTTACGGTGGTCCCGAAACGGCTTCAATAAACTTTATATAAACAGTTAAGACCGCGTCATGTCTTTGGAACGGTGGAACATGGTGGAACTGGGTGCGATCTCCTGCAGGGCCTTCAAGATATTCTTGGCTAACAGCTCCACCCTGTTCAAAATGATGGTGGACACCTGTGACCGGGGGATGCTAATCGTTGGGATATCAGATCCTGGGACCGGATGGGGATAATGGGGACCGAACTGTAAAAAACAAACAAGTATGGGAAGATATAGTGAGGGTGATAATAGTAATTTGATAATCACAACTAAGGAAAACCATTTTAAAACACACAAGAGAGATTTGAGCTCGAAGGATACGATTCAGCACATTGATTTATCAGCCAAGAGTGGGATTGTGGCGGCAGCAACAAATCGTGAAATAGTGGAAATTCATGGGGTATAGAATCGACAACATCATATTTGAGATTGTCCGACAGGAGAATATTTCGATGTAGCCACGTTTTGGGATAGATCAATAGGTAAATCTAGCCACACAAGGGGCCAATTTTGCCACCCACGATGTATGACTAGCAACCCCTCGCCCACATGGACAGTCTTAGACCCCCGGAAAAGTTCGCAGCCTGGAAAAAAACCTAAGTTACCCTCCGGCAATGGAACATCCTCTATAAACGCAGGTTTATAACTGGGAAAACCATTCATAAATGGAGGATATTCCATTGCCATGTTTGATTACCACAAATCATATTTCAACTTAAACCGCGGATGTTTACAAATTGACCTGTTCTTTGGGGGCTTCCCAGAAGGGAACACCTACGGGAAATCATTTCGTTCACACCACTGTATCTATGGGAAAGCTATGTGATTTTGCCCCGAACTAGTCCGACGATGATCATGGCTGAGCATGTAGATACCTCAACGAAAAGCTTTGGGGTGTCCGGCACAAGAAGTGGTTTCAGACTTCTTTAATAAAAACGGAAAGAGTGAGTGATACAGCCAGAACCGAGGGGTTCTGGCTTAGGTGATTGGTTGAAAAACTCGTCTGATCTCGTCATTCTATGTTATAAATGAGCCCCTGTGAAACATTGCGACCTATTACTAGTTGAGTAGGATTTTAGATTTCCAATTTTGGGGGATAAAACTTCACCATTTTCACAAACTATGAATACTCAAATGAAAAGAGTCATAGTGACAAAGAAAATGTAGGAAACTGAGCAATATCCTCTGGTAAACTAACATAACAATGGAAAATCACCAGTTTTAATGGGTAAATCCACTATACATGGGTCATGTTCAATAGCTATATTTAAATTACCAGAGGGTAATCCCCAAATGGCAATGACATTGACAGTGCACCACAGCCATCCATAGCTCTCCAATGCGAAGTTCACGGGTCATGTCGCAAAGCCAGATTTTTGGTCCCACTGTTCCGAGAAGACAAATGACATCTACCCGATGGTTGACAGTTTATGGAAAAATTGGAAAATCACTAGTTCAATACGTAAATCATCACAGATAATCTAGAAATTTGCAATTTTCCACAGCTGTGTTTAAAACCAGAGGGTACCACATACCTGCAAATGATCTTTAAAGATGTTGCGAGGATCTAGTCACCGGGGCTTCTAGATATGGATTTGATTATATGTATATATATATAATATACATCCTCAACATCTTGAACCCTAATACAAGTTCAAAGCGGTTGCAACCAACTAAGGTTCCCTTGCGTTGTCACTTAATAATGTTATGCACTGATTGCCAGTCTGTTCCCCTATTCACATAAAAATAATATATATACTCCGTATATCCTTAGTTACTATGGCCAAGGTGTCCGCTTCCCCAAGGTCTCCAACGCGCAAGCGAGGCGCGCTCTCCAAATGAATTGCGGCTTCCAGCTCGCTCTCGAAGGTCTTCCATGTAGCCGTCACATCCAACAATTTGTCCACCACTGACCTGAGACATGAGCATCACGAGCATTGAGATGCCTCGACTTATGTAGAAAAGCATACATGGGTCAAACAATGCATGACTTGAGCCGTTAAATGCAAACATGCTGGATGTTGACTAGTGCAGGCCCCCCCTTCCAGCCTAAGACAATCGCTGGGGGATGAATACAGTGTATGTATATATATATAATGGAGGTGTACCTGGAACCCTTCGGCCACTAATCTAAATACGGAGTTTGATTCATTTGAATTTACTTTCAATTCAAATTCCTTAAAACTCTGAGGCCAAGTAAAGATTCATATTAAGTACATGTATTTTCCGTCTTTATGTCTCTACTCCGTTCTTCTTTCCTTTGCATCCATTCTCTCCTTCCTTTCCTCTGTTCCTTGCCTGTATTCTTTCTGTTTGTCTGCCTTTCCTTTTCTTTACCGTTCTTTCCTTCTCTTGTCTTTGTTTTCCTTCTGATTTCCATTTGTTCCGTTGTTTCTTCTTCTTCTTCTTCTTCTTCTTCTTTGTTTTCTTTGAAAACCTAAGCATGCCAAGGAATCTTTGAGAGTGGTGCTGAGTGATATAAAGGCGATGATGCTGTAGCAAAACAATTTTAAACTATATATATATTATATAAGTGGATCCACCAAGTTTTTCCCGAGGGAAATCAGAACCATGTCAACATCTGCACTCTTCAGAAACTAGATGATTCATGGGCTACCCACTTGACAAATTGTATGAGTGCTGCTTGTAAAATTTGGAAAATGTAGTGGATGTGTTTCTTTCGGGAGCCTTGGCATTCCAAAGAATTTCTTTTGGGAATAGCGCTGACTGAGATACGACAGCTACCGGCAGCTATAGTAAACCAATAGGGTAACCATAGATTGGTGGAATTCAAAATTACTTTACTTCAAGTGATCCCCACCGTGACATTATTTTGTCATAGCTTCTTACATCTCATCTGTAAGCATATATGGATATATATATATATATATGTTCTGACATTCTAGTCTGGCATTATCTCTGACATCTAGTCTGACATCCTATCCAATCCATTCTATTCTGCCATTCTATCTGGCATTCTTTCTGGCATCTATTCATTCTGGCATTCTATTTGGCGAGTAAACATAGCATTACTTCTTGTACCAAAACAAGTTCCTGATGCTGCGCTTACGAACATGTCTAACCTGATGTGTTACTGTTCCACAGATACTGTTGCTTGTATCTGGCACATTGACTTCCTACCCTCCATACTGTTTGGGGCCTCTTGTCGGTGTAATATGTTTGAATGAAACCGCATGAAACAACATGAAACCAGCAACCAGTATTCCAGTTCTCCAAATAAATTCAGCGCCCGGCTGTGAAGGTGGTGCCGGAATTCCACGGATTTTGTTCCCTTCGATGAGGTTCCGCAAATTCGAGGAGGCTTGCGACAACATCACCGTAATCTCGACCTGGCACTAGATGTGCAGCAACTCACGCACGATGTTGATCAACTAAATGGCCCAGAAGTGCGGAGTCAGGAGCCCGGCAAAAGGGGTGATTCATACCGAATGGAAAACACATATCTACAGGGCGCAACACAGCTTCCGAAAATTGGTGTGAGGGGAAATTCAATGGTACCTTTGTATGCTCAGGCAGAGAAACAAGAAATTATTGTGTCCTGCAACCTTCCCTCTTAAGTCTCTTAAGCCTTACATCAACCCGGCTTGCATGGAACCAGAAAACAAACTCGTGATTCCCTGCAAAGTTTACCTCAATGGTTATTTGGGAGTTTGCAAGACCCCGCTTTCCTGTAGTTTTTGTTCCCTTGCATGAATCCATTACCCTCCGGGAATTTCACATTGTTAAGCCATGGCCCACTTGGATCCATTTAGCTCGATGAGACCGGAGATTCTGGGGTCGCACCTGGCTGTTCTTCATATCCACTTTCAGGCCAACTTGAGTAAAGTACCTGGGCAAAAAATCTTTCCAGGCCAAGCATAATTAATATAATTGGACAATATTGATCAATATTGGACATGAAAATCGAGCTGGTTGATGTAGGAACATGATGAGCCTCTGGGGAATATCAAGCATCTGAGAACATCTTGGTGCGACACCACGCTCATCTATCTTCCAGGTCCCATGGTTTGAAAGATCTTGATCGTTGATGATTGATGTGGGGACATTACAATCAGAGATGGGATTTGGCTTGGGCATTTTCCGACGCACTTTACAATATTGTTCATTCCAAAATGAGTTTTACTTATCTACGCCGTGAGGTGGCTAATCTTCATACCCTGTGACAGTATCGGAGAGTCGGATAGCATATATTCCTATACATGTATGGCTCAAAATGAAGCTCTTCAACAGAAATTCAACAGGTTTTACCCAGTCCAAATGAACTGTGGCAAAGTGGATTCTGAAATGACTGACTGCAGCAACCGCATCTCTTCCACACATCAAACACCTCACTGGCTCATCTTTCGTCAGTCCCTTCCTCTTTCAACCGGCCCCGCTCCCCCCCAAAAAACTCACCAGTCATTGATTTCAGGGAACAGCTATATACAGGAAATGATGCTTTTAAACGTCAATTTAGATCAATTTAGATATTTTGACCAATTTAGGGGGTTCCTCTAACAAGAATGGTTTCGAATTGCTGGAACTGAACGGCTTGGCTTGGGACGACTGGGCTCCATTTTTTGCCAAAGAGCTGTGCACTCCGCTGGGTCAGCAGCCGCTGCGCGGAGAGCATCGTGAAAAAAGCGAGCCACTCATCGTAGGTAGTGCTGTTCGCGGGGCTGCACTCATTCTCATGACTGAACAACTTCACCTCGGCCGCATCACTCAATGATCATGAAAACAAGGTGCCAAAGTCATGGGGGATCATGTCATCCACAGTCATGTCATGGGGGACTATCCCCAAAACATATCAGAAAACTGAATGCTGCGAGCCCGAACAAATCTTGGACATAACAAAGGTTCAAGTCCCAAACTCTGAACATGAGTATTCATTGTCAAAGCGGTTGTGGTGACTTCGCTAAACATATCTCGACAGCAGGGTGCTCATGACATGCCTCAGTGCCTCAGTGCATGCAGTATCAGTGCATATTAGACGCACCTTAAACACACTCAAATCCAATAGCGGCCGGTTTTCATCCACCCCAAGAACAATTGGATGTCTCCCATTGCTGGGCATCCCTTTGGGTCATCTTGACTGCAGCCACTGGGACGGCTTCCACCATGGAGAAGTATAAGGGGTCGACCAAGTCCACAACTTCTTCAGCCACGGCATCTGCTGCTGTTTGACTGCTGGAAGGCGTATCTGCATTCGTAATACCTCAATCCATGGTCATTCGATTCAGGGACGGACCGGGAAAACCCTCGGGGATCCTCCCCAGATCTTGCCACTGTGTTTGGCATGACGCGTTGGTGGCTTTGCTTGAACTGCACTATGTAGGGGTGAGAAAATTGTGTGTGTGTGTTTGTACGATAGAGTTAGTTAATTAACTGGTCAGCAAGTGGGTTGTTTAGGGTTATGTAAAACACGGCCATTATAGGAAAAAAATAACGCACTCAAAAGCATCGCCCCTCACCCTGGAAAATTGTTTAAATATATATATATATATATACATGATTTACATGATACACATAATCCTAACTCACATACACCAAGATGTGTTTGCACACCGAACATATTCTACCATTGCCTTAACTTCCCTTAACCACAAGTTTTGCAGCAGACATGGTCGATTATCGAGGCGCCAGTCAGGAGGGGCCGAAGCTTCTGATAATAGAAACTCACCTCAGAAGGGGAGGACATCACACATCTTTGATGATTGAATCTTGACATTTTTGCCAATGTTTTGGTTGCTGAAATATGCTGAAATCCTCCTTCCTGGCCCTGCTGATTGAATCCACAGGCGTTTTTCCCCAGCAAATCACTATTTCTGGCGCTTTACATATCCAACATGGCAATGGAAAATCATGGATTTTCTCCATCATTTAATAGGAATTTCCCAGCTGCCTGATAGTTGTTTCCCAACTTTCACCAACCTTCAACTGGGCTCCACACCTCCCGCATCTGGTGCAACGTGCAGAGGTCGCGCAAAACGGGTAGGCCTGGCAGTGTCAGCAACGCCCAATGCCAACCGGAAGGTTTATACGACCCATTTCTGGTAGGGATGGTTTGCGGGGTGATAAGGATGTCCACCAAATATATATATATATATCTGTGTGTGTGATCCTGAAGAAACGTAAAACTTATTTTTCCATATTTTTCCTTTTTGGTAATGCACGGGGGCACAGAAGGCCCATAGAGCTGTGCCCAAGGAAGCTCTCTATGGTGTCCTTGGGACATCTAGGCTGATCATCTGGACGTACCTGCATTTTTGCTGAATTTCTACTTCATTTGCAGATCTAATCCAATTGTTCGTTTCGTATGCAAGACGCACTCCAATATCTAATTCGAAGAAAAGTCTGAGCAAGTGTGTTGAAATTGCCTTTCAATATGAGTTTTCATTCACACACACATGTTCCATCAACAAAAACATACAAAAACTAACATCATATGCTGTTGATATATCTTGTGGGTCAATGTTGGGGTGGTTGAAAGTTCAGATTTCCTGAGGAAACCGACCCATCCAGCAGGGCGAAAGACGGTACGGTATCGGTTCATCTATGAGTTACATATGTAACATTTGGCCTCATGAAAGCTTGAACTGGTTGGTGGTTTCAACCCCCCTGAAAAATATTAGTCAGATTGGATCATTATCCCAACTATTGGGGAAAATAAAAAATGTTCCAAACCACCAACAAGTTGAATAAATAAACCGAATCATTTTACATAATTAAATCTTACTCGGCCACATGGAGTGACATTTTAAGACCAACCACCAGCCACTTGGATCTTTAGAATTGATATGCGTTGACCAGACTTTGGGGGTCTGACTGCCCACCAACTATCAGATCATCCACATCTTCAACCGAGACCGTGCCTGCAAAGGGAACGCCTTGAATTATCCCTTCGTGTGATGCTTCGAAAAGGCTCTTGGTGTCTCTGTACGCTTCCATGTTGAAAGACATGGCTACGCCTGGTGTGGGAATCCAAGTGCCCACCCACCAATCAATCACTTCCAAAACCGACAAAACTTGGAGCTCTCTTCAACTTAAAATGCGGGTCTCGAACTGGTGGAAATGGACATTTTGAATTGCGCAGAACTGAACAACTTCCTCAGAACAACCAGTGGGGGCATCGTGTGGATTCAGGAGTTTGAATAGCTTGGAGCTAGGATGGTTTGAATATACCTCTGGAGCATACTCCCCTGAACACACTCCCCTGAACACCCCAAATGAAAGAAATCGTTTCAGAGACTAACTTCAAGTGGCAGGGGGTATGCTCTGTGGGTCTGTTGCATTTTTGAGCCCGATCCAACTGACATACACTGTACTGTACTGTTGGTGTTTTCATAGAGCTCCCTGTTTTCGTTCTGCATTGACGCCACCTGCAAATGGATATGACATGGCGTATGGAGTGAAAATTGGAGGTACGATTGCCCGATGATGTTTGGTACTGAGCATCGCCAAGTACGTCGTGTTTTTTTCAGCTTGGCTGGTGTGCATATCAATGCCCATGTGTTCACCATGTTCACCCGTCCATCGTGAACGTGGAAAAACCATGGGAGCAGAAGCGACCAAAACAATACAGCAAGCATTGCCCATTAGAACTTAAATGGCAACCTTCAGCCAATCTAGGCAATTGTTATGACTAGCCCTGCAGCCCTGCATGCCCAAAAACAGAACACGCAATGTTCATTGGCAGGCTATTTTCATATGATACTGTGCAAGTTTGTCCGAAAATAGGGCATACAGATGAACAATTGATGGTTGATCACCGTTTTGTCCTTGTAGAAAGGGCTTCCAACAACCTAGACGTTGATTTGTTTAGGCCGTCATTTACCGCGGTCCAGCCAGATCCCACTTGGTGAGGGGGTTTTAGCCCCAGTCATAGGTAGGATTTTTGTAGGATTAGTCCAGTTGTAACTGGGCAACCGAGCCAACCAACTGGGGCACCAACAAGGACAACAAGGGCGGTCAAAGGATCACTTAGGACGACTTTTTGGATCACTTAGGACGACATTCAGGGATGTGTAGTTCAACCTTTAGGGTTAACTCCACTGGATACACACCTTTAGGGTTAAACTTTAGGGGGGGACAGGGGACCGGGGACAGGGGACAGTGGGAACTACTACAGGTAAGAGACACGACATCAAACACATTGGACTCCATTGGATACACACCTTTAGGGTACAGGGGACGGGGGACTGGGGACAGGGGGAACTACTAGAGGTAAGAGACACGACATCAAACACATTGGACTCCATTGGATACACACGTTCGGGTGCATCGATATATCTTTCTATTGATACTGTAGCCATAGCCAACCAACTGGGGCACCAACAAGGGCAGCCCCCAGCACCTTGACTCAACAGGAGGATGCCCTTGGCCAAACGCTGGATCAGAGTCCGCTGCCGGCCAGCAATGTCTTGCACCAACCTTTTGCTCAAACGTTGCAATGCAATGATGGGCCAGATGGGCATGGGAGTTTTACATATACACCTATAATGCTACATATGTATATATATATATAAATATATATATCTATCTATATATATATATAAATACATATATATATATATATACATACTGTATATACATATATATGCCAATATATTATATTACATTAAATTAAATTATTATTATATTATATTATATTAAACTAAATTATATATTATTATATTATATGATAATTATATTGTATTATATTATATTATATTATAATTATATTGTATTATATTGTAGTATATTATATTATATTATATTTTATTATTGTATTATATTATACTATATAATTTTATTAAATTATATTAAATCATATCATATTATATTATATTATAGATAATATTATATATATGACAAACATATGCAATATCATATGTTTACAAATATGGTCATCCAACTGGAATTGGATGGGTCTGGATTGATGCTAAGCAGGATCATCCAGGGGGGCGGAGACTGGGTTGGGTTACATTTTGCCTGGCTGGTTTCAGTGCAAAAATCACACTATGATCTGTCGAAACTAAATCGTTTGGCGCCTGATGCAGCAGTGCTCATGTGGAATGGATCTCCAAGCAACACCTCCTTTCACGTTGGCTCTTGGACGCTGATGTCAATTGTTCAACTGTCAGCAATATCAAAATCACTCATCTCCAGGGCAAAAAAATAGCAACAAACATCTGGAATTTCAGGCGTTCGTGCAGGTTGTCCCGCACAGTCCCAGCTCCACCATGCACCCCTACTTGAAGGTGCAGTTCCACCAACAAGTGGGTTTTACATAACCATAGATGTGGGAATTATATCGCAACTTACGGAGGTTAAGAAAACCCATAGTTATAGCCATAAGAAAGGAAAATCCACCATTTATAGTTCGATGATTTTCCCAGTGATTAACCTCCAATTCGCTAGCTTTCCTGACTGTTCGGACAGTCACCCGATTTCCAACCTTTTTTTTCGCGCCAGGTGGCCCGCTGGTTGTTTCCCCCGAAACTTGCGCAGCATCCACCAGAGCCTTCACCACAGCATTTGATGTATCGAGCAAGGGGACGTTCCTGGCACGTCTTGCCAAGGTGGATGGTATGTCTAGCAGTCAAATATGGTAAAAAAAAATGTTGAAATGTGGTTTTAACATGTTTTAACCAGGAAACACTTTTGTACAAAAACCATTGTTTTGCCATCGAATAGATGATTTGCGGTTGCAAAGTGTAGCACTCACATAGAAGTTTTCATGGCAAATAAATGAAAATATCATGATTAAGCATCAAATTTTGGGGTTACCCTATTTTCAGACAAAGCCACCAAAACAAGAAATCATTAGACATTGATAACCGCCGCATAAATTGGTGCAGAACCCCATCCAATCCAACTAACTAATTATAGATATATCCACCACAAAAACCTAGTTGGCCTGTGTAGTTCTAAATCAACTTACCTATCTAGGAATCTAGGCTCCCGTCCTGTGCAAAAAGAACATGTTCTGTTACTTATGTTTTATATTTGGGGGTTGCAATAATACTGTAGCCCCTTTCCAGGTAACAGTAAATACTCCCCAATTTTTGGTTCCGATGAACGAACCAATACAAAAGTAGGATTTCACTCTGAGGCACCAACTGAAGACCTTCTGACAGTGGATTGACCATGAACGTGCTTCCCTGTAAGGTGTCTATGAGAAACAAAAAAAACAACATCTCATCTTTGTGGGTGGATTGATCGCGTTTAACCACTATTCCAATTGAGAAATTTGGGAATCTTTCAAGTGAGAGAGAGAACAGCTCATACTATTGTGAGGCTACTTGTGGCTGTCCAAACCCCTGAAATCTAATGCTTAATTATCACCTTCCCCGAGGAAAAGTGGCCATAAATTGGGGTAGAAAAACCATGTTGAATCATTTTGAGGCGTACCCACAGAACAACCCTGAGCATCCAGCATGGTCCTTGAGTTCAGTTCTTCCAGCACAGGCATGTCAATTGTTCCATCCGATCGGCGGACGGTCTCAGCATTGGTACCTCAACTTGTACCCCTGGGTTTGGATGGTAATAATGTCAACACCAAACAAATAAACCCTTTCTGATTGATTGGGAGGGTGTCCCCTAAAATAGTGATAATTGGCTACGAAAAAGGTACCCCCACAATTAAACAGCCTGGTGGTTTATCAATCCGGTGTTGACATTACTTGGAATTATTATTTTCTTTGAAGGAAAACTTTGCGGGAAACAATGTCTTGCAATGTTTCACATGTCTTTTTGGACTGCACGGGTTTTATCATCAAATCGACTTGTAACACGGTTTCCTGTGCAGTCAACCCCCAGCAAATGTGGTACGCGTTGCCAACTATATCCATGCATCTTCACAATGTGCAACAAATTGCAAGAAACATACCCCAACAAATAGCAGCTCATTGTTGGCCATTTCATCCCGCTACTAGTTGCTATCTTCATCTATCTCTCCGTGCCATGGTCAAAACATCGTCAAAACATGGCAGGGTCACACATCCCACACTGGAAATCCTCCTGCTGGGCATATAAATCATTACCCTCTGGGAAACTAACATAACTATGGAAAATCATCATTTTTGATGGGAAAATCAACTATAAATTGCCATGTTCAATAGCAAACTGTTAGTTTGCCAGAGGGTATCCCGAACATGGATTAATGATTCCACCCAATCCTGGGAGATCAGCGTCACCATGGCTGGCACAGCTGAAGCCATGGGCGGGGCCCCATAGGCGGCCAGGTGACGCAACAACTCCTCCATAGGCAGCCACTCCACCAAAACTTTCTGCAGGGCATTGGCCACCTCTATGGATTGAAATGGATGGACCGCGGTGAGATGGACTTTTCCCGGGAAAACTATGGAAAAGTGTGAAAGGAACCAACCATTTTTTTTCAGGAGCAGTGATGCCTTCAATCTGATGATAGGAAAATGTGTATTGATTTTTTCCTGACCGTTGTTGACCGAATCTAGCGAGGAAAGTAGCAATGACAGCAATGAAAAACAGGAAAACAGCTGAAACAAGCAACAAGCACGATGCAGCACCCGACAGAACTCGGGAATATCATGGAATATATGATAATAATTGATAATATATATATATAATTATTATATATATATATAATTATTATATATATATAGTATAAGTAACGAACAATCACCAGCAAAAAAAGGATCCATTCAGAATTGGAACTCCGGACCTCCGGCGCCCTCCGGCGCCCTCCGCCTGGGAGTTGGGTGCGGGGATGATGTCTCGTGCAGGATCTCCCGTCATCAGAGCGTACAAGGTGCTGTTGAAGCTTGACATGCTCTCCTCACCGGTTTTTTCACCAAGGGTGGTGCTCCCCAGCTTTTTGAGTCGGTTGAAGTTCGTTGATACATGATTACAAGCCACATTAGCCATAAATATATAATGATATATATATACCCTCTGGTAATGACTAACATAGCTATTGAAAATGACCATTTACTGTGGATTTTCCCATTAAAAATGGTGGATCTTTCCATAGCTATGTTAGTTTATCATCCACCATAACTCCCGGTTATGTTAGTTCGCAGTCGCGTGACCCATCCCACAGTCTAGCCCTATGGGTTTAGCATCTAGGGAGATGTAACAAATTGTCAATGCAAACAACATCTCAAACCACCAAGCACTATATCTGGATGCATCTGGCAAATCATGACGATATATATATATATATGTATATGTATATGTATATATGTATATGTATATGTATATATGTATATATGTATATATGTATATATGTATATGTATATTTATGTAAATGCTCACCATCTGGCCAACCTGAGAAAGAACTCTGGCTAGCGGTGAAACTATCATGAAACAAGGCCAATCATCCAACAATTTGAGTCCCTCTGCTGAAACCCGCAGCATCAGCCGGGTGTTCCTCAAAACAGTTGAAATTCACAACCGACATGGAACAAATGGCCGATGAATTAATGGACTATTATGAATTGGGACTATAGATATATATATATATTTATTTATATTTATATTTATATAATTATAAATATATATGGACACAGTTAGAAGATCCTTCAAGGAAATCGGCAACTGATAGGTTTGAACAAATGATCCCTTGTGCCAGACCATAGCACAAAAACCGGCTGCATCTCCAGATGGGTCAGACCCGCCTAAAAACGTCTGACCAAACGGCTCCTGGAGTTTGACCTTGTATTCCGCCACGCTGGTTCCACGCGAAATCAGCAGGAATTCTTTGGTCATCCTGAGCTCTGCACATTTCAACAAAATATACATACTCTACATATACAGTATATGTGTGTATAATATATATATATGTGTGTGTGTGTGTCTGTCAAATTATGTAAATCTGATCATGTGGACATGGCTGGAAGAAGCATGTTGCAGCACAGCAGATATTCAATGATAGCCTGAAGTCATGTTGCATGCGGCACATGACCCCCTGGAAGGATGTTTGGGGATGGATCTGTTCATGTTGGGATCCCACAAAGAGGCACGTCTTAAAGGGGGCAATGGGAACAATTGGATCATCATCGAGTATCATGATCTATATGAGTTTATGATTCATATTCATTCATGATTATATATGGTGGATTTATGCTTTTGCATCCTACATATCTTACCCTCCTAGGCGTGCCAAGTCCTATCAAGTCCTTGCCATGGCTCATCTGGCTCAAGGTCCTTTGCATCCCAGCCAGGTTGATGGTCTCTGGCCAACCCGCATTAGCGAGGGAGACCAGCAGCGTCAGCTGGAGCCATCGATGTTTCAACCCCATAGGGAGAATCCAACCCGGCGTTGACGCCCCAAGTCGCGAGCAAAATGCTGAGGGAAAAACACGGGATGGATTGGCTTCGGGATGATCTATTAGGAAAAGCTGATTGCCTTACACCTCCAATTGTGGATGTTTGTGGCACATGTCTGGGTTCCTCTGATGATAAGGTGAGATGGAATGTAGCTGCACAGTGTGCAGGCATGCGCAGGCATGCGCAGGAACATCATACATGTGCAGGCAGCACCAGATGAAATGTTTCACCATGCAAAGACCGGCACAAGAAAGGAAAGGATACTCTGGGGATCCTTGGGGTTTATGGCAATCAGATTGTTGTGAGCATCTTCGTTAATATCGCTTCATTAATGGTGAAAGTGCGCAGCATCATGGGTTAAAGCTTGACTAAAGGTACCATAATTGAAATCCCAAAATAAGCACGTTGTAGTCCCCAAAAAAAGTGCCGGAGGAATCCCCTGCCACATCTGCAACAACTGAGGCCTCTGTCTGGCCACTTGTTGCTGGTCCCGGATCAAGCCTCTGGAAATGTGGATGACGGCTTCGGTAGATACTGTGTATATATATATTGTATTATATATATATATATATTGATGATTATTATTATACATATCTGAATTACCTATTTCTTTAGTATATCAAGATATATCAACTATACATGTAGATATGCATAGCCTGAACAGGAACAGGTTCTAGTCCGATGACATCTGAAAACGTAGAACAATGGATGGTTTGTACAACTTTTCTCCTGCTAGGCAACGTTGGACGACTTTTCAAAGGGGACTGTTGTCTTGGGAGAGTCTAGGTATGTCTACGTAGACCATATAAAAATCCGCCATGGAACCATTAAAACTACAACTGGAGGCCAAACATCTTCAAAAAACGGCTGGTCTCAAAATAAACAAATTATCACCCAATTTGATGGTCTTTAAGAAAAAGAACTACAGTATTCTGGCTAATTCTGAAGTCTTGAATGGGGCTCGTGGGAGTTTGAATATGCATTGCAATTGCAATTGAGTGAAGCCTACACTCGGCAATTTCCCCAACGTTGTCATGGTCAAGCAACATAGGTGAAATCGTTTGTCTGGGTCTATTGGCGTCGAATTTACCTATGAAATTGATGGATAGTATCAAATCAATTGGTCCAACCATCCCTGCTTCTACGCCGCGGCAGGTTGATTTGCACTTGTCATGGCCCCCTACCTCATTCCACTGGTGTTGCTAGACATATGCAGTCGCCTTTTGAAACGGTGGAGAAATACAGCCATAGCAAGATGTTTTACAAAGTGCGCGTGGTTCGGCGTGGAAAAGCAATTTTCTTGCTTGGAGAGACTATTTTCCAGCGCGTTTCCAGCCCGAATTCACGGGCACAAAATATGGAAAAAACACCAGGAAGTCCAAAGACTATTGAATAACATATCTCCCCATGTAAGATGATTCTTTGGCACTTGTCACGGCCACATATTTAATTACTCATTGTCAATGGTAGCACTTTTTTTACAGACATTCTGCCACTGTGCTGCGACCCACGGTGAAACCCATTTTGAAGGATTTTCCCGGTTTGAAGGCAGTGGCTCTTCTGTCAGTAGCGCTTTAAGGACATGAAAGCCACATGATTCGCCACTACTATATTGTTGTTTGTCCAGTGTCTTCTTTCTAGTTCGAATCCTGTCACTTCAAACTGCCCTTTGGAAAATAGTGGTCCCAGATGGCCTAGTTGGTACCATGACATCTAGTTTTGATATGTTTTGATCGTTCTGCCAAAATACAATAATTATTGTTAATTGTTTTCCTAGGAGAAGATAAGCCGGGACCACGCATCCCTCCAGGTCCTTGTTGATTCCCAGCTCGCCAGCAGTTTAATTTTTATCTACCCTACCTAAACTACCCCCCCCCCCTCCCCCCCAAAATAATTTCCAAAATTATTTTCAGGGGGTTGATAGTGTCTTCGGTTGTTATACGAAACAACCCTCTTTAGGGTAAAATAATTTCTTACGATAGACCCCCCCCCCCCCCTTCATCGACGGTGGTGAACCTTCGTAAAAATTATTTCAACCCCTGGGGAGTTAATTATTTTGCCCCCCTCCGGAGACTCCAATCTTTACATATGTATACTTTGGGACCCCCCCCCCTACCCGACATGATCGCCTTCGCAGGTGTACCGGGGATATTCCATCCCTTCAAGAAAAACGCGGGGGTATCAACCAGGTTTTGGAATATGTTTAAAGAAAACATGTTGTTGAATAATTTTTCTAAGCAGTGGGCCTACGGATGTGCATATTGGAATATGCGAATTATAATCTAAGCCTTCAAATATACCCTGGAATAACTATGTTTTGACATAACTTCATCTAAATTTTAAATGGTTGAACAAAAAAAGATTTAAAAAAAAACACTTGGGGATTCCCGCAAAAAAAATGTTCAACCATCATCTTCATCACTGGGTTCTTTCCTACATATTTCCATTTTTTTTCATACTTCCCCACATTTCTCTCACATTCCCTTCATTTCCTTCCAAAGAACACTCGGTGGGAATGACTGTGAAAGGGAAAGCATTCGGTGTTTATTTTTTTTTTCAGCTGGCAGCTGCTCACTTTGATTTTTGAGGAGTGCAGAGTATCTCCAATACCCCTAGAATAATTTCTTCCCTTGGGAAATCCCACGGAATGGTATTCAACCTGGCCCTTTCCTGTAGTGACACTGTAGTGATTTTCCTAACCTGTCATATTTCCCATTATTTCTCCCATATTCCCTTCATTTCCCTCCAAAGAACTCATTTTTGGGAAGCGTTCGGTTTTGATAGGTTTTTCATTTTTTTTCCAGTTTCTGGGCGAGTTGGATGGTTCTGGCAGCTGCTCACTTTGATTTTTGGGAAGGGCAGGATATCTCCACTACCCCTAGAATAATCTCTTCTCTTGGGAAATCCCACAGAATAGTATTCAACCTGGCCCTTTCCTGTAGTGATTTTCCTAACCTGTCATATTTCCCATTATTTCTCCCATATTCCCTTCATTTCCCTCCAAAGAACTCATTTTTGGGAAGCGTTCGGTTTTGATAGGTTTTTCATTTGTTTCCAGTATATGGACGGGTTTGATGGTTCTGGCAGCTGCTCACTTTGATTTTTGAGGAGTGCAGGGTATCTCCAATACCCCTAAAATAATTTCTCCGCTTGGGAAATCCCACAAAATAGTATTCCTTTCCTGTAGTGATTTTCCTAACCTGTCATATTTCCTCTTATTTCTCCCATATTCCCTTCATTTCCCTCCAAAGAACTCTTTTTTGGGAAGCGTTCGGATTTTATAGATTGTTCAATTGTTTCCAGTTTATGGGCGAGTTGGATGGTTCTGGCAGCTGCTCACTTTGAATTTTGGGTGCAAGGCATCTCCAATACCCCTAGAATAATTTCTCCTCTTGGGAAATCGCACAAAATGGTATTCAACTTAGCTCTTTGCTATAGTTGTTTTTCTAGCCTTTCATGTTTTTCCCTCTTTCTCCCATATTTCCTTCATTTCCCTCCAAAGAACTTTTTTTTGGGAAGCGTTCGGTTTTGATAGGTTTTTCGTTTTTTTTCCAGTTTCTGGGCGAGTTGGATGGTTCTGGCAGCTGCTCACTTTGGTTTTTGAGGAGTGCAGGGTATCTCCAATACCCCTAAAATAATTTTTCCCCGTGGGAAATACCACAAAATAGTATTCAACCTGGTCCTTTCCTGTAGTGATTTTCCTAACCTGTCATATTTCCCATTTTTCTCCAATATTCCCTTCATTTCCCTCCAACGAACTCTTTTTTGGGAAGCGTTCGGTTTTGATAGGTTTTTCATTTGTTTCCAGTATATGGGCGAGTTGGATGGTTCTGGCAGCTTCCCACATTGATTTTTGAGGAATGCAGGGCATCTCCAAGATCCTTTGAATAATTTCTTAAAGAACGAGTTTGGTTTCGAGTTGCAAGTTTTGATGCGTTCTCGCTGCAACTTAATTTTTTGGGGGGATTCTGACATGACTACCAGGGAGCACACATGAAACATGATGTTGAATTTATTTGCGTTGTAGGATTCGCAACGCATCAATCCTAAAAAACAAAAAACCTAAAACATAATAAGCCACTTTTGCAAGCCCAACATTGCGCAAGATGGGATATCGCATTGTTCTACATCGTTTCCTCCGAAAGTTACAACACTGCCATCACTGCGAAGAAGTGCTGTGTGAACACAGCCTGCAGAAACTTGAGTGCACGACCAAAGGTGGAATATGTCATCGGATCAAAACAAGGTCAAACACCAAAATTATTTTGAAATATTTTTTTTGCTGTGAGAGTGTTTTCGTCAAAATTATTTTGAGGGGGGGGGTAACCCATCAAAATAATTTCCAACCAGAAATTATTTTGGCAATGGTTAGAGTCTATAAATCTATACATCCAACATGTTAGATTTTTGAAATTATTTTCAAAAAAATATTTTGGAGGGTAACCCCCCCCCTGAAATAATTTCATTAAGGTAGGAGGGATTAATTTTTGGTGGTTATGTATAACTGTTATGTATCTATAAATTGAATCAATGACAGTGATATAAAATGATTAAATTGTCATATCTCCAATAAAGCTCAAAAGTTAAAAGTTTTTCAGGGAATGGCCAATGGCTGGGAAACCGCCATGTCTCAGGATATAAATGGCAGGATTAATCGGTTCCATGGCAGTCCCAGCCACGCTTCATCTTTGGCGCTGCTGTAGCCAGGATTGATGGGTCATCATGCGTGGACAGCAGGAAGGACAACGGTGCGAAGTCTGAGGCAAAGTCTGCGGGGGGTGCAGGCTATGGAGGTTTCCAAAAATGGAGATACCCCAATAGCTGGATGATTTGTAATGAAAAATACAATCTTAAAATGGATGACTTAGGGGTACACCTAGTTTAGGAAATCTCCATATATTGCATATGTCTTGTCTATGTATATATATATATAATACGTATCTTGTCATTGTGTAGTTCATTATTTACATTTCAATCATTGCACACATATGATAACATATGGGATAGTTATTATATACCAGTTGTAAGTGTTTGGATAAGTTGAGTAGCCGTGCAAATCCTAGTAAATTCATGTGCAATATATGATAAAATATGTATATGTATATAAATGTAATAAAACTATATTATATATATATAGTATGGCTCAGGAAAAAATAAAACAAAACATATATATATATATATTATATCACAATTTTCAGTGGGAGTCTCACTTGTCTATCTTTTTGGCTGTTACTACAGACTAAAAAAGACAAACAATTGCAGGGATTGAACTTGGACTTCTCTTACCATCAAACTCAAGACGCCGGACATGCACACAAAGAATAGCCGGTACCGGAATTAAAATACCCATCGTTCCAGTGACGTCGGAGTGAGGTCGTTAAGAAATTACTCTGCTATGATGGAAAATATGGAAACCATCAACAACATGCCGAACATGTTGTACAGTGGTTCTTATTCAATTCTAATCTAATGATCCGGCGTGCTCCCATATGATCCACTATGATCTATGCAGCGCTGTATAAGGGTATAAGGATGCACAACCAATCAAGGAAACAAGCCTCTCTCATTGCTTCTGACACAGAGTGAGTCACAGGTTTTCACCAAAAAGGATCTTTGAACCATTTGCCGATACTGCGATGCATTCTTGGACGGCCTCTTGTCTACCCAGGCAGTGCAGATTGATTCCGTTTCAAGCTGGAGAAAGGAAGACAAATGAACAAGGAAAAGTGAAAGGAAGAAAAGAGAAAGAGAAAAAAGTGAAAAGACACAAAAAAGGGCATCATATAATAGAATAGCGATAGAAGTGGAAGAACAGTAAAAGAACATTGAAAGAAAAGTGAACACATAAAGAAATAAAGAACAAAAGAAAGAAAGAAAGAACAAACGGGCCATCTAAGGGATAAAGAAAGGGAGACAAAGATCAGTAAAATAAAGGAAAGGCAGAAAGAAAAACACAAGACACTTCAACCCTGAAAGGTATCACCTCTTTTCTTGTGCCAAAAAAAACACGTCATTGACGAAAAATCACCCATCAAATCTTGATAAAAGTGTCAGCCTTTATGCAGCGGTTGCAAGGGGACGTGCACCGACAAACTTCCCGGATCTTCCGTGTCCATGTGAGCACTCTGGGCATTGGCGCCTCGGAGCAGCGGCACATGGCGGCAGCAATTTCCCAAAAGGATGCCCCCAGGGCCCCAGGCCGGCACAACACGGCCAAGCCTACAGATGTTTTCATATCGGATGTTGCCAGGTGCAGGGTAAATTCACAACATATTAATCGTTAAACAAAAACCCTAAGATGACCAATTTATCTGCATAATGCTGCATGATACTGCATTGACAGAAGCGTTAGAAAAGGAAAAATCTTATATAAACATCTGCATCCCATCCCCTGTTCATATTAAACACCATTTTACGGTCCCAAAAATGTGCTTTCATCCCCTGCATCCACAATGGTTTATGATGGGTGTTAGATTTATCGTGCTTTATCCGGTCCCCATATTATCCCATCATATACACAATTTAAAGATCATTTCTCATGATTTATCCTAATATATTCCATTATTTCAGATCTACCTCCATTTCTAGATTATTTTCCCACTGCATCCCATCGTTAATATACTGATTAACACCTATTTTGGTTTCCAATTATAGACTAGTCACATTTATAAATGATGTTCCCATGCTACCCACATTTCTAAAAGATGTCCCCATACTTTTCAAATTATAAACACGGGTAACCATGGAGATTCACATGTTTACGCAGCCCAAGGTGCCAGGGCCCACCTTGATGACCATGGCGCTTTCCAACCTGGGAGGCTCGTGGCGGAAAAATCCCTGGCGCTTTCCCATCCTGCGCGTCCAAGGCGCTCCACTTCATCGCCCAGATATTCCGTGAGCACATCTCGCAGGGATTCGTCTTGCCCCAGCAGTGGCAAGCTGGAGAAGGGCTCCTTGCTGGTGGCCAAATCGCATGGGGGAGATGGATAGGGATGGATAGCCACCAGCTCAGTATGACTTGTTAAGGATCTGGGGGCCAAACTCACAAGTTTTGGGTCGAGGAGGAAAATCTGAAGACATCTTAATTCCTATATCTATTTTCAAGAAGAATGAGATTGGTCATGGTGCTTTAAACGTGAATAGGACATGCAATTGAATTGTTTTGTTGCGAAATTAATCGATGGAGACGTAGATCTGCCAAGGGCGGCCTCGGGATTTTGGCTCCTGGAAAGGCAAGTGCACTGGAGTCCGCTCTGCGCGGAGATCTCCAAATCTCATTTCCTGGTTCGTCGTGGTGATCGATCAATGGTTATGTGCCAATTCAGTTTAACCATAGAGTAACCGGTTTGGTACCATTTCGCTTATATATATAATATTATATATTAACAAGATGCAGCCCACGAACCCGAATGCAGTCACGTAGAACACTATTGTGAAACAAGTTATTTGAACAGTCTGCATTTTTCCCCTATTACTGTACCAGTGCACTGTAGACTGCGGAATGCGGAAGAGGGTGGAGTGTAAAGTGTAGAGTGTGGAGTGTAAAGTGTGGAGTTAGCAGTGTGCAGTGTGGAGTGTGGAGTGTAAAGTGTCAAGTGAGGAGTGTACAGTGTGGAGACTAGAGTGTGGAGTGTCGAGTGTAAAGTGTAGAGTGTAAAGTGTAGAGCGTGGAATGTGGTGTGTAAAGTGTAAAGTGTAAAGTGTGGGGTGTGGAGTGTAGACTGTAAAGTGTGGAGTGTAAAGTGTGGAGTGAGGAGTGTAGAGTGTAAAGTGAAAAGTGTGGAGTGTGGAGTGTAAAGTGTAGAGTTTGGAGTGTGGAGTGGAAGGTGTAGAGTGGAGTGTGGAGTGTAAAGTGAGGACTGTGGGGTGGGGAGTGTGGAGTGTGTAAAGTGTAGAGTGTGGTGGAGTGTAGAGTGTGGAGTGTAGAGTGTGGAGTGTGGAGTGTAAAGTGTAGAGTGTAAAGTGTAGAGTTTGAAGTGTTGAATGTAAAGTGTGGAGCGTAAAGTGTAAAGTGTAGAGTGTGGAGTGTGGAGTGAGGAGTCTAAAGTGTAAAGTGTGGAGTGTGGAGTGGAAAGTGTAGAGTGTGGAGTGTAAAGTGTGGAATGCAAAGTGAGGAGTGTAAAGTGTGGAGTGTAGAGTGTGGAGTGAGGAGTGTAAAGTGTGGAGTGTGGAGTGTACAGTGTAAAGTGTGGAGTGTAAAGTGTGGAGTGTGGAGTGTAAAGTGTGGAGTGTAAAGTGTGGAGTGTAAAGTGTAAAGTGTGGAGTGTAAAGTGTAGAGTGTGGAAGGAATGTGGAGTGTAAACTAACGAGTGTGGAGTGTAAAGTGTGGAGTGTGGAGTTAGCAGTGTGGAGTGTGTAAAGTGTAGAGCGCGGGAAAGATGGTAGTTGACAAAGTGTGTGTGAAAGATGGTGTGTGACAAAGTGTGTGTGAAAGATGGTGGTTGACAAAGTGTGAAGATGGTGTGTGACAAAGTTGGTGTGTGACAAAGTGTGTGTGAAAGATGGTGGTGGACAAAGTGTGTGTGAAAGATGGTGTGTGATAAAGTGTGTGTGAAAGATGGTGGTTGACAAAGTGTGTGTGTGTGTGTGCGTGTGTGTGAAAGATGGTGTGTGACAAAGTGTGTGTGAAAGATGGTGGTGGACAAAGTGTGTGTGAAAGATGGTGTGTGCAAGAGGAGGCGGGAGGAGGAGGAGGCGGAGCACCCGGGATACAGAATCAAACCCCACACAAAGTTGTGGGGACCTATATATATATATATAGATAGAGATATAGATATATGCAATTCTTGAAAAGAAAACCAGCCTCTATATTCATTCATCAACCGACCAGCGGGACAAGGATCAACCGTTGGAATACCGTTGGAATTTGATGGCTCTGGAAAGCACAATATATGGAGGTTTCCATACATGGGGTTACCCCCAAATCGATGGTTTATAATGGAAGGTACTATATTAAAATGGATGATTTATAGGTACCCCTATTTCAGGAAACCACCATCAATATGTCAAACATTCCTAGACTCCAATTGCTCATTCCATCTTATTCCAAAGTCACTGCCAATGGCTCAGTCAATGCCACAAGTAGGCTGTCAACAAGTGAAAGTGACCTTCCACGCAAGACTTGCCTAAACGATTCAAAGATACATCAAAACCTAAGTCATCCCATCTTCCTGTTAGTACCCTCCAGTAATCAAACATGGCTTGCTGGAAGCCCCCCTTTAGTTCGATGATTTTCCCAGCTATAACCTGCCATCTTTGATTATCGGGGGGCATCCCCCATGTACTGAACCCAAACAGAGCAAACCCACCAAATTACACCAGGTTTCTTGGTGGGTCACTACGTCACTACTGAAGGAGTGGGTATATAGTATATATATATATATTATATATATACATATATATATATATATATATACAGTATATGTATATCTCTCAGGAGGTCTCGGGTCTCGGGTATGAACCCAAAACTTTGCAAACACACAGTGTCTTCATCAAACCACTGCAGCTCTTCAGATCATGAATAAGAGTGTTCTTCAGATCAGGTTTTTTTTAAACAAAAAACTGCCATGCAAAGTAAGTCCCCATCTTCTGGTGTTGCTGGGATGGGAAAACCAAATGATCCATACTGTCCCGGCTTCTGGCCCTCTCGCAATCGCCCAGATACGTTCAGTTGTTCACGTTCCTCCAGGCCTCCAGGGCACTGGGCTTAAACACCCCAGCAAAGTGCCAATGGAATTAATCTTGGTCCCTCTGCTTAGCCAGCGAAAATCCATCGTGAAAAAACAACATGGTCCTTTTCTCTCTCCAAATGGCCGGAGACCCCCCGTGATTTTACCCCCATGATAGGCCGCGGGGCGAAGGAATCTGCCGAACAACTTGTCCAACATTTTCGCCTCAAGGGGAAGAATCCAGGACCCCGGTGTCTGGCTGCCATTTTTGGTGAGCTTTGGGTAGGCCTCCAGGAAACAATCCCAAGATTTCACAAGTTTGTAGATGATCTAATGACGGTGCCATGAGGATAAATGATGGCGTTTGTCTGGTGAACTTCCGGTCTTGCCGTATGCATATGTAGGTGCATAATAAGAATCATAATAAATAATAGTATAGAAAATTGTAATAATATTATATAGTGCTAACAATTAATAATAGCACTGGCAATAATACTACGACTAATACAAGAAATAGTAATCATAATAGCGATAATTATGGTCCTGTAATAAAATATATGCATATGCTGCTATTTGTATGTGTTATAGAAAATTATGCATAATAAAAATAATTATATAACTATATATGCACGTGTATATATATATATATAATTATATTATGAAAATATGTGTGCCTATGAATGTATCACAATTTGTCCTGCTCAAGTCCCCATTCTTGCTTTTGAAATCCCACATCATCCCCATCCGCGCTGGACCAATCCATTCTTTGTCGCTGCCTACCCATATTAAAAACAAGTCACACCTATGGGGGTTTCCTACCAAAAAGGGGTACCCTTACATCATCCATTTTCCTAGGATTTTGCATTATAAACCATCCAGCTATTGGGGTACCCCCATTGATGGAAACATCCATATCTACTGCTTTGACCTTCCCGGCTCGCGCCTCAAAGGCCCGTGGCACCAACGCCACGCCTTTGGAACGTAGCACCTCTGTGGGACCTTGCTGGTCACAAAGCTCTGCCAGCCTGAGCACTTTCTGTGGATGGTGAGGATTGGGATCAGTCCCCAATTTTTTTTGGGGTGACTAGTCATCAACCAACAAGGCTTCCCAAGATATAAGCTTAGTGTATGCCAGTATAATCCCCGGATAAAAGGCGGTTACTATAAAATCAAACCAAGCAGGGATTTTGAACACTGCCAAGTTTGGGAACACAAAATATTCCGTTGAAATACAGTAATGAAGTACACGGCATATTAGAAAACCCCAGTTGGGGTGTGGTTTAGTAAACATTGGGGATGGTTTGGCGTTGGGTTTAGTTACAAATACTCGAATGGCAAGACCTCATCGAAGACAAAAATGGCATAACGGTTCGAACAACAAATCGGATGGTTTCACAAGTTTCATACCAAACGTGTAGACAACTTGTGCATTCTTTGGAAAATCGTAAAATTTCAACTCATTGTCAACTAGCATGTAGTTGGCTTTCATTAGGCCACTGAAAAAATCAATCTTTAAAATTACCCTCCTCCAGTAATCAAACGTGGCAATGCAAATCCCCCATTGATAGATGATTGTCCTATTAAAAGCTCCCCATTGACAATTGATAGAGGATTTTCCAGCCAGCCACGTTTGATTACCGGAGAGAAAAGTCTCATAGCAACCACTCATCATCATTATCAACATTGATATTTATTCACCATTATGAAACAGCAGTGACCAGTAGTAAGACACTAACCATTAAAAACTCGAAGAAACTCTAAAAAAAAACATACATTAATGGTTACATGGTTATAGTAACGGTTAGTACTTGATGGTCCAAGTAACATCAAGTAACATACCTACCATAATAACATACAGTACAGATGGAACCATTCCATATAACTCCCTCCCTCCTAATCCGCTAGTAGCTGGGCAATGCTCCATGAAGGTTTCGCCGGAGCCATAGGCGCCACCTGCCAGGTGAACTGCCAACGGGCATGGCTTGACCCAAAAATGTGGATGATGGCTGATGCATTGGTGAAAAAAATTCATTTGGTAATGATTATGGCTGATGCATTTGGATTATGCCATTGAATTATTGACCAATGGCTGACTCATGGATAATCATGGCTAATTCATGACCAATTTCCATCCCTTGGTGATTCTTGACTGCTTGGAATTGGTGGCTTGACAGGTCGATTCCGACACCGTAAACCCAGTCATGTGGATGACCGTGGGGAAAGGTAAACAATGTAGCAAAACCCAGGTGTATGCATTCTCCAAATTGTAAACTTATGTACTGTAACTTTTGGAGGAAAATTGAATTTTTGATTGTTGGGTCGCCTGCGTCGCCTTCCCATATGTATGTGTGTATATATATATGTAAATAAATATGTATATATATATATATATATATACATACATATATTCTAAAATGTTCATGTAAAGGACAGTTATTACTTAGCTGTGGCAATTGGGTCATCTTTGGGGAACATGTTCCAACAACCCTCATTACCCATTTGCAGATCGTCTACTCATTGAACATGGCCATTTTCCATCCTTTATGCACGGCAAACCGTTAGATAACCAGAGGGCACCTTAAATGCCAATTATATATCCATTATATATCCATTAGATTTGTATGATATCCATTATATACCCATTACAGTATACATATCCATTATATGTCCATTATATATCCATATATTTTTATTTATATATATATATATCCATATGTATATATATATATGATATAGCAATTTATCCACATTATACCACCATGTGTGCGGCTTAAATCCCTCTTTGCCATGTCATGTTTTCAGGCAACGCAGTCAGCCAGGCTTAGCCCACGCCTTCAGACGCGGCACGGCCGCTGTGTCGGGCCTGGAGATGGAGAGCTCATGGGTCTTGAGAGGGAAAAGTGACAGGAAATCCCCATACCCTCTGGTAATTTAACATAGCTATTGAAAATCATCATTTTTAATGGGAAAATCCACTATAAATGGCCATTTTCAATAGCTATGTTAAATTACCAGAGGGTAGATCATAGATAAAACAATGGTTTCCGATAGATTTCCCTTAGACCAATCCAATGACGCTGGGAATGGCCAGTGGGCGAACTGGACAAATATCATGATTAACAAGCAAATTAAATTCTTCAAATGAGTTTAAATGATCAGAATAGAATCATAAATGATCTACTTTCAGGGGCCATGTTAAGTAGCGAACTGATAGATTACCAGAGAGTATTGTCATCAAGACTGGTTGGTGCTTTCCACCCACCCTAAGAATAAATTGGTCAATTGATATCATTTTGATACGAGTTAGGGGTGCAGCAACAAGAAAATTAGAAAATTAGTAGACTATAAGTAAACAATAAGTATAAGTAAACTATAGGTATTTCTTCCTGCTTTCTTGGTGACTGCTGTTTTACAATGCTATATCTTTAGACGACCATGGCCACCTCATACAGAAGGCGCAAAGAACCCCGGCAACACCCAGGAAGGCGCGTCTCCTTAGGAGCGAACACCAAGGGATGCGGAAGGTGACGGCAGATGGCCGGCAAAAAAAAGGTCGAAAAGTACATGTCTACGAAAAATAGCAGTGATGTTCTATATTTTTCAATCTTCTTTTGGGCAGCCATAGATTTTTTTTTTCTCCTCCCGTTCCCAGAAGCGTTCGACGCTGCGACGGAGCATGTCTAAATTCAAAGCACAGATCGGAGACTCTTATCCGTCGTGCCCAATCCTTCCGTCAAAAGAAATATCCCAGCCATAGATATATATATATATATATATCCATCTATCTATCTATCTATCTATCTATCGATCTAGATCTATGTATGTTTACAACTGGTGATGCAAATGGTTGCAGTGGATGAAAATGGATGCAAATCAACGCAAATAGATGCAAATGGCTTATATCCTAAACTTGAAACAGCTAGTATACAGCTAAGATACATATACTTGATATAATACATACTATACATAGAACCAACGCGTAGATAGATGGATAGATGGATGGATGGATGGATAGATGGATGGATGGATGGACGGATGGATAGACAGCAAGCCAGGTAGATAGATAAATGAGGTTAGATTAATTGAACTAAATTAAATTACATAGGTACGAGTAGATAGGCCGAATGATGCCAAACACATCCAGATACAATATACAACATTCACAAGTCTCACTGATGGATCATTATCTTGGATTTGTTGACCTGTACGACACAAAGGTGCTCCATCAGTCATAATAAAAAAGTGCCAGGCATGTTTTACAATGCATCAATACAATTGCTTGAGGTTTGTGTATCGATGATGCCATGTCTGGTTGGTCCAAGATGGTCCAAACATCTATCCATATTACACCCATATTTACGATACTTAGATGACTTTCATTTCATTCACTGCATGAAAGGGTCAACTCCTTGCTGCCGTGCAACATTCCGCCTTGCGAACGAGAAGATTAATTAGGAAAAAGGCATCATGCCTGATAATCTGGCAAAAACTGTGCGTTCGCTCGGATAGCTGTACAGTCCAGCAGAGCTTCTTTAAGCCAGGTCTCAGTTGCATGATGTGCCAAAGGTCCTACACGGAAGGTTCTGCGGCGGGAAGCAGTCACCAGCTGGTCAGCCAAGGCTCCTGCTAACGCCTTCGAGAAAGCTGCGGGGTACTCTTTCAAAACCGCAGTGCGGAACATTCCCGTGCTACTGTCCAAACCAATGGCGGTCTGCTGAGGCTTCTGAACATCAGGGAGCTGTCGCTTGTACATGGATGAAGCGAAGCGAGGGCAGTTGATTGCCAGGATCCCGGTCGGTTTGGAAACTTCTGCACCCCAACGCCATTGGCAAACACGATGGAGAGAAGCCTGTGGCAATTTGAGCAAAAGCTCAACCCAGGGCGAAGTCCAAATACTCACCTTGAGAGGGTCCTCAGGTGTCCAGGGATGTTCCGAGAGAAAAATCCCTCCATAGCAAACTGACCAAGCTGCGACAACCATGCCCTGTAGGAAAAACTCGGACCCCTGGCAAGTTTGCCTGAGCTCTCTAGGCGTTAATCCATCCAGTCCAAAAAATCGCAGCGCACTGCGAAGCGGGCGTGGCCATTTGCCCATAGCGCTGGCCGGAGCTTCCGTGGGCTGGTGGTGTCTGGCCGCGGAAAAGGTCTCACACGGAGACCCCACCATAGTCGCTGCTACGCGTCCAGCTCGATAAAGGTGGAGAAGATGCTTCCATGTAGGGTGCTCCAGCTGCAAATTCCCATAGAAACCTGAAACAGCTGTGTCCAATGAAAGAATCTGGACACGGAATCCCATCTCTGTAGCAAAAGCCTCAAGGCATGCATGAAGGTCGGTGCCACGTCTCCGGCCACTGAATAGATGAACTACTAAAAAGATCGGGAGATTCGTGACTAATTCAACTTGCGCTGGAATGGTAGCGGAGCCTGGCAAAGTGTCAAAATTGATCATTCGGATCTGCTGAAGCCATTGGCTCTGGTCTTGAAAAAGCGACTGAATTTCCAGTGCAGTTGCTGTACGTTCAGCCACATTAGCCGAACCGATTTTCACTTGTCGATGCGGAAAGGCAAGAGATTGTTCGGCTTCAAGCCTTCTCACTTTTTGTCGAAGGAATGTGATCTCCATCATCACTTGCATACGAGGAAAATCATAAATCATTTCAGTGAAAGCTTCTTCCACCAGCTTTTCAGCTTCACCATCAATGAAGGTCGCAATCACCTCTGACAAACAATGCTCACCCCAAGCAATGTAGACTGTCTCCAACCAGTCACCAAATCGCGGGTCTTGGTCCGCTGCAAGGTCTAGCCAAGAGTCAGGCAGAGCTCGGATAGATTCAGGGTCAAAACCATTTGCCTGGAAATCCGAAAACCATTGGCTAGTAACTTCCGTGAGTCTGGCATGGAAGGCCTCCATGGCTTGATCTGCTTGCTCTGGGGCATCCTTAACAACTAAGGCTTCCTCACACCGCTCAAGTCGGCATCTCGTCTGTTGCAACTCTTGGCCAGCTCGATTCTGAAACAAAGGTCTGGGCCCTAGAGCTTGCACAGCTTCTACTCGATGAAGGCCGTGCGGCCTGGCATTGGTGGGCAACGCAATCTCATCGAGGACATTGAAGCCTTGCTTCTGTAATGTTTGGAAGCATTGGTTAACTTTCGTTTGTCGAGGGATATAGGAAAGATGTTGATAGAGCCTTTGCCGAGTCCACAAGAATTTGAGGCAGCAAGGACAAGTCGCCCCATCAATCAAATGTTTTTCCAGTGAACCAATGTTATGTTGAAGTCTGCGATGGGCAGCGAGGCCTTGAGGTGTGCAAAAGATCCGGCCGCAAAAGCATGAAAATTCACGTGCATCTTTGCTAGGCATTGGGGTCACATTGCTAAGGTCAGCTTGCGTTTTCAGAATATCAATGAACTGCGTATGGAGTCTGTGCATCTTGTGCATCATAGTCTCCTGCAATACATGCCTTCTGAAAGCAGCCTTGACCCTTTGTGGCCATCGCTGGGTGTCAGACTGCCAATAATCGAAAAGCTCAGTCAAATCATCACATTTGATCGCAGGTGTAATGCCTTCATCGGTTTCAAGCTTTTGCATCCAAGCAAGGTCAGTCAATAAACCTTGGAGCCACGACGTGGCACAAATGGCTGCTTCGCGATGGATGAGGTGATGAAGTTCCGCTGGTCCATGAGCCCAAAGACGTTGTGCATAAAGAAGTCTATCAGTAGCCAATCTGAGCCGTGGATCAGGTTGTCCTGCTCTACGAAAAATCTCCGCAGCTGGTGTAGTCATCACCTCATCAGGTGTGAGCCTCAAAACTCTCCGGAGAAGTCGCAGCAGAAATGCACGGATTTTAGCCATTTGCCTGAAAGAAGGCGTAATCCATGCTCCTAGACCAAAGAAAAGTTTGGTGCCGATAAGAGTCTGAAAGAGTTGAGTTCTGACTTTTTCGGGTAGATGTCTGTTACACAGAATGGGTCTGGCAATCTGACCGAAAGCAGCATTTGCAAGCCCTATGCGTTGACAAATCTCAGCGTCGAGGCTATGATCCGAGGCGAAGATGGTGCCCAGATGCTTGTATACAGGGACATAGTGAAGGAAAATCTGTCGTCCTTCAAAGTCAATTGCATCACCTGGCTTCGGTCCCAGTTGGAAGGCCTGGCGGAGTTGTGGTGCCTGCGGTCCTCTAAAGGTCACAACAGCGCTAGTCTTACCTTTATCCAAATTAAGGATAAAGCCCTTGCTGAGAAATAACGAAGTAACCAGATGCAGGATTTTTCTAAGGGCGGCGGGCATCTCTGCGGCAGTACGAGTAGCCCAGGGGATAGCAAGGTCGTCCGCCCAGGCCACGAAGCCACCATGGACATCTAGTTGCTGCAGGATGCCTTGATATTCATCCTGATATTCATCCTGATGGTCAATCCACGCCTGAAGGTGGTGGAGAATATCGGCCATCAATATGTGAAAAACACAGTCAGCAAGCGGGCTCCCTGGCCGCGTACCCCGTTTGGTATTGATGATCTTACCTCGACGCCCAATTGTCATCCATGTTCCAGCATGGATGTCTTGCAAAAGTTGACAAAGGAAAGGCGGGGCATCAAGTTGTTCCAGCAAATGAGGGAGCTGCAAGCGTTGGCACATTTCATCGATCGGAACCCCTTCCTCTTCCAGAGAGTGGAGCACCTGTGCCAAATCTTCAGGTACATGTATGCCAGATACCCATTCACGGATGAGTCGGTGGAAGGCCGTGGTAAGGTCCAGGAACAGCACAGCAGATGTCAATTGATGTCGATCCATGATACGGCCGAAGATCTGGAGCGATTGCGAGCCATACATCGCCTGCTGATTACTGAACCCTCCCAACTGGCCTGGCGGTCTTTGGCGTTCAAGCAAATTCATAAGCTGCGTTCGAATGAGTGCATGAACCCTTTTTGTAAATGTGGGAAGTAACATGATTCCTCGATAATTGCTGGCTAGGAATGGGCTACCCTTCTTATGTAGCACAGCTAGCGGTCCTCCTTTCCCAGCAAGTGGTTCATGCTGCCAAGTCATAATTTTGAGCAGCAAAGGGAAAAAGAGCTCAGCCAGTACACAAGGGTGCTCATGGAACAAAATCGAGGGAAGCGTGTCAAAGCCCGTTGCCCGATGAGGTTGCGTTTGTCGTAAAACATCTTCCAATTGGAACAATGATGGAAGATCACTGGTACGGAATTGTCGTTGAGCAGGAAGCTGAGAAAGTTGTCTCTTGTGGCACGCTTCCAAAAGGGCCTCTGGGTCAACTGGATCCCCAACTTCAAGCTGACAAAAATGGGGTAACCATTGATCCTCAAGAGACTCAATGCAAAGCGGGTCAAACCCTTGTCTGCGTTGTCGGAACTTAGGGAGGGAGCGTCGAAGCACCTTCCAAAACCGTCTGGCATCTGATGGGCCTAACCAGTGAGAACTTTCTTGAGCAAGCTTACTGTAGAATTCAACATCGTCTGCACGCAAGGCTTGGACAACAGCCTTCCCATGTCTGCGGAATTGATGAAGGGCACTGGCAATGTCAAAGTCAAGTTGTGCAACAAGGCAGTCAAATTCGTGCAGAGGGGTAACAAAAGAGGCATCCACTTGTGCATGTCGCCATGCTGCAAAAAAGACCTGGAGAAGGGTTGCATGCTGGAGTTTCTGGCATTTAGCCAGTGCTGATCTCCATTTCCTTTTGGCGCATACCAGGACCCACGTTTCACGCGTCATATTGGGCCTATGCGGCTTAGCAATGATCTGGCCTGAAGGGAACCTAGTGCAAGCAGCAATGGACGAACTTAACTGACCAAAATGGGTATGGACGTCAACTTGACATGTATTTGGCATAGCCGCACAAAGCTGAGTAAGGGCATCAGTATCAAAATGTGGTGGGCATTTACGTGTCTTGTACCTGGCACGGTCGAGACAACGCAATTGTGTATGCCATTGGACACGGACTCTTGCTGGACGATGGTCGTCCTTGGTCAGGGAGAAGTCCAGTTCAACATCCGTCCATGATTGGCACAAGCTGAATGGCCAGTCAAAAGGCAAACCAATGATGTCATTCCGGGTCCAACATCCATTTGTGTGCTTCCATGTTCCAGTAGGGCCGTGATGTAAATCTGCAAAAGTAGCAGGCAAAAATAGCTGTTGGACTGCAACAAAATGTTCAAAAGCTTCACCTTTCCCATTGTGCAGTTCAGCCCCATGACTCCCAATGTGGCGGTTGGGGGTCTGGCCAAATCTACAATTGGCATCCGCAAGTAGTAATTTGGGCCAATGATCATATTTAGCTGGAATCTGATTGGTAACTCCTTGCCAATAGGTATCGATTTCAAGGTCAGTGGCACCACTGTGTGGCGCATGTGCTGCAATGAGAATACATTTGAGGAAAGCATTGCTGATGCGCAAAATCAAAAGTCTCGGTTCAGCGGTTATTACTGCAAAGTCATTCTCAGCAAACCAACCTTGTGGATGAGCCCGCTTGGATTCGTCAAGGACACAAGGGCGATCTTTAGAAAAGCCAACAAGAACGCCAAAGTGCCCCTTGTCATTGGCAGGTGCATGGAAAAGGAAAAAATCATCATTACGCAATCGGAGCTTAGATCTAAGTCGTGTCTCCTGAAAAGCGAAGACTGAAACATCAGCTTCATGGAGTTGTGCAAGCAAGGATTGAAGACGTGCAGGTCCGCCAACACCGCAGTTCTGAGTGGCCTCTTTACCAGGGAGCAGGGTGAGCACATTGCAAGTCAGGAATTGCAGCTGAACAAGTCCGTTGGTGGCCGCTTCTCTAGCAGAATGATCGGCAGTCGGAAAAACTTCAGAACAGGTAGGAGTGGTGCTTGGCTGAGCAGGCAGAACAAGGTTACCTTGATCCCAACGTATCCCTAGCTGAGCAAAGAGACTCCACGCCCATTCAAGGTCACGTACAAATCTCTTGCTCCCCACATGTTCAAGAAAAAACTGCCAATCCTGTAGGGGATGACCTCTTGCTGCACAGTTAGCAATTGTGTCAGCGATTTCATTCCCAGGATCCCCGCTGTGCCCTGGGACAAACGAATGGCTGCAACGCAACTTCCATCTCTTCTCAATGACACAAATGATGCTACGTATGGCATGGCATGTGAGGACATCCTGTTTGGCTTGCCAAAGTCCTTGCGCTTGCTTTCCAACAGTCAATGAATCAAAGACGAAATCAATCGCAGGAGATGCTTGGAAAACCTCAACAGCAATCTTGGCAATGTCAAACGCAAACTTACTGGCAAGCAGCGAGGCAGTAAGTTCTGCAGTATATGACCCTTTAATGGGCGTAGGTAAAAATGCAGAAACAGCTCCTGCAAATTTCCATTGACCTTGTTGCAAAACGAAAGCTGCAGCTGCAGATCCTGCATGTCCGGTTTGCTGTAGAAAGGAACCGTCATAATAAATCTGGATGCGCTCAACAGGGCCATTCCACTGAAACCAGTCAAGACGAAGCCACTCCAAACATTGTGGAAGCCACTGAGCTGGCTCATCTAAGGCGACTTCGACATCATAACTTGGTAGAGTGAAGTGTTGGTCCAGCCATGCAATGGTGTCAAGAGCACCAGCAAAATCAACTTTTAACTCCTGAGGTTGCGGGTCTGCTGGAAGTTCTCGGACAGTGACGGGAGGCATCTGAAGGAGGTTGGTTGCATCATCAGCCGCATCCTGCACAATCTGCTGCGGTTGAGGATTCCGATTAACATGTAAAACGATGCTGTATCCTGACCAGCCAGGGATCGGATGCCCAGGTAAAATAGGGTGTTGTTGATACCAAACGACACACTGTGCTGGTTCAGCCCTTGCAATACAGATGTCATCATAGTACACATTATGAATGACCTGCTCAAACGTGATGTGTTCCGGTGTGGTAATTGCAATTCGCATTGGCGTGGCATGACCTAAAGCAGGATCACATACTGAAACAAGTGACGTTGCCCAGTCATCACGTGGAGTCTGAATCAGTAGGATATGAGCTGCAATGTCATGTTCAAGAATGGGCGGTGAAGGCTGCACAACTGTGAGTTCAAGTGGTAAAGTAGGCAAAAGCAGTTCTCGCCACACAAACTTAATACGATCCTCCCACTCAGTGAAATCTTCAAATAAATGCACTTCACGTGGCGTGAAGCACTTTGGAAAGGGAAAGCGGTGATCCACAAACCATACCAAAATTCTGGCTGAGGGGGCTTCTTCATCCCAAGAAACTGCAGCATTTGTCCAAAGATCATGGAGTGTCTGAACAAATTCCGTCTGCATTGCAAGGGGAGATGCTCCCGGTCGAAAGATCGGTGCATTGGGATCGAAATTAAAACATGGTTCAGCAGCATTCGGACCTCCAGCTACCGAGGAAGCTGCGACCGCAGGTCTGTGTGGAACTGGCGTTCCTTGTTGCATGAAACTTGTGTCATCAGCTATCTGCGGTGAATATGGGTCAAATGCAGCAGGATGAACTGTGACACGAATGCAGTCCCCTGGTCGAAGGTAAATTCGGTCATCCCAGAGGTATGTCATACCCCGACAATGCATCGTAACGGGTAAATGAGCATGTTCAGCTGGCACTGCAAATCTCGCAAGATCACGGCAAACAATGCTTGCAGGAAAGACATGCGCAAAACATGTGTTGCGTGTTTGGCCAGCTAAGCAAACTAGGATGGGGGTCTGATCATTGCGGAGGCCCTGGCCTAAAAGAACATGAAGGCAAACCTCATGACCATCTGGCCGCAATGGTGCACCATCAACAAGCCATACTTCGAACGGTGTAGCCCGCAAAAAAGTCACGCCAAGGAAAGATAAGATCATTCCTCCACATAAGACTGTCTTCATTGAGCTTAACTGGTAGCGGTCTAGCACAATGATGACCCTGGTCATGATTCAAATACCACGTCAGTACTGGGAGTGAAGGCTGCCAGCTATCCAAATCCCATTGGTGATGTGCGTTGAAAAAGACCTGTAATTGTTGGATCCAATCCGGTCTCCCATCTGAAGGTCTTGGCAATGGTAAATCAGTGATATCATCATCAGCTGCAAGGTTACCAAGAAAAGCAGGGGTTTGAGGTCGCTGAAATACTTGAACTGATAAAGCCTGTTGCAGTGTCCTCCGCAAGGGAACATCATCCAAGGCTAAAAGTCTGGGCAAGTCAAGCGCAATCCCTCTGCTAATCACTAACCGTAGAGCATAACCCGAATGTACATTGACAGCCTGGTTGTAACGGATGGGGATACTGCCAAACCATAAACTGCAGCGATTGTGTGCCACAACAGGAGGGCAATCTGACGGCAGATTCAACGTGAGAAGCACATCATTCAGCTGGATACGATCTGGCATGACAATAGCAAAGGTGTAAGGGTTCCTTTCTGTATCGGGATCAGAGTCATACACCGATAAGAGAGTTGAACGTAACGCAAACTGTGGTCTTTGCTTAACAATGAGCTGTGCAATGATTCCACTAGCAGCGTCTTCCGATTCAGGGTGAACGATGGCGAAGGAGATGTCAGCTGGCGTAGAATCAATCTTGTCTCTCCAAGTTTCTTGTAAAAGCTGGTTCCAACGTAGAAAATCAGCACCCAAGAGTGTGATACGTGAGGCATGGCATCTAGGAGAGCGCGTGTGATCCAAAAACCAACTCTCAACTCTAGCATATTCAGACGGTTCCAGAGAAGCATTGGCTTGAGCATCAAAAGATCGCTCCCAAAGAGCTTGAATGAATTGTGGTTGGTTCTCGATAGAATCCGGATCCCCTGTAGGGATGGTGTTAGGGGGTGCATCAGCAATCGCTTGAACTGTCCTAAGGAACTCTTCAGTGAAGCTA